GATAACGTTGTTTCCCATGGGGTTCAAGCTAACAATTCTGATGTTGCCATACATGCCTACTGGGACCGAGCGATTAAGCAAATGGGAGGCGGATGGTTGGAGCCAACTTTCTCATGGTTGGAGTGGGAGGCTACAGAGAGCAAAAAGGAAAGGCTAGAGTGAACCATGTGGCACTGGTAGGAATTCGTGTTTATCTTAAAGTATAAAAATGAATAGATGTGAAAATAATTATCTACACTAATAAGAGTCTAATATGTTAATTAGACCGAACAGCCAAACAACCTTCCGGATGTCATTCTGGACTTTCTTACTGATGAAGCTGTGTCAGTGGGGGCCAAGGCAGAGGCGGTTGGGAGTGATCAGGCAGGCAGGTGAGTGGTTAGGGGCAATCAGGCAGGCAGGCAGGCAGGTAAGCAGTTAGGGGCATCATGCAGAGTGGTTAGGGGCAATGGGCAGGCAGAGTGGTTAGGGGTGATGAGGCAGGAAGGCAGGCAAGCAGTTAGGAGCCAGTGATCCCGGATTGTGAGAGGGTACAGGCCTGACTGAGGGACCCTCCCCCCCCAATGCACAAGTTTTGTGCACTGGGCCTCTAAATACATCTATTTCCTAGCTCCTAGAAACATAAACATGGTAAATACATAACTGACACACCTACCTTTCCCTTAAGTGCCTAAAAGAATTTAGATAGGGAGCCTGACCCAGGAAGAGAACTATTACCAGAGATAACTTTTTATCTGAAAGACGTACCTTCAGGGCAGGGCCAACATCTGATTACCAAACACCTGCTCTTCTCCTTAGCTCAAATCCTGTGAATTGCCCTCCTTAGCTCAGGAAGGCAGATAAGCTTAATTGCTTGACTTCCTTTGGGTCTCATATTTTTAAAAAATATATATTTTATTGATTTTTTACAGAGGGGAAGAGAGAGAGATAGAAACATTGATGAGAGAGAGTCACCCATCAGCTGCCTCTTGCACACCCCCTACTGGGGATGTGCCCGCAACCAAGGTACATGCCCTTGACCAGAATCGAACCTGGGATCTTTCAGTCCGCAGGCTGATGCTCAATCCACTGAGCTAAACCGGTCTCAGCTGGGTCTCATATTTTTATGGGATTCTCATTTGCAAATCTGTTTTTCTCTTATTAATCTGTCTGTCAATTTAATTTTTAGACCAGCCAACGAATCTAGTATATTTGACATCTGAAAACATTTTCCCATGGCAGGCAAATCACTTACACCTATGAAAATGAGAAAACTACAATGAGATGCCATTTCTTACCTCTCAGGTCAGAGAAAGAATTTAAATATGACAACACAGTCTGTGAGAAGCTAAGGAAAAACAGGCACTCAAATACATTGCTAGTGGGAATGAAATTGGAACGGCCCTTTTGTGAAGGAACTTGGAATACCTAACTTTTATACTTTCTAAAAATATATATTTTTTATTGATTTCAGAGAGGAAGGGAGAGGGAGCAAAAGATAGGGATATCAATGATAAGAGATTGATAAGCTGCCTCTTGCACACCCCCTACTGGGGATCAAGCCCTCACTGAAGGCATGTGCCCTTGACCAGAATCAAACCCCAGGCCCCTCAGTCCCTAGCTGATGCTCTATCCATTCAGCAAAACCAGCTAGGGCAAAACTTTTATACTCTTTTGATGCACCAATCCTATTTCTATGAATTTGCCCTGAAGATACACCTCAGATAATATGAAAATACATATATGGACAAGGCTATTCTTTTTGGCATTGTTTATAATTGTAAAATATTGGAAACTAACTACATGGGCAAACATAGGAGAGTGGTTAAATTATGGTACATCTACAAAATAGGGTACTACATAGAAGAGAGAGATTATCACATAGACAATGTAAGCTTTGCACAGTGACAGTATCGTAGCCAATGAGATTTATCCGAGGCTCGATTATTGCTAATTGAAAAAAAAAAAAATAGACAATGCAAGTATTCTATTTTTCATGTAGGATAAATAAGATAATATACATTTATCTGCTAATTTGTGCCAAAAACACAGAAAGGAAAAAGCAGAAAGTAAATAGATTGGTTACCTCAACAAAGGTGGGGAGTGCAAAATGCAATTCCAACAAAAACAAAGAAACCCAACTATATTTCAAATGAAGCACACAGCTTCATTGAAGGAGGCAGGGAGGGGGAGAACTAGCTCAAGTAATTTTTAACATCAGATTAAAGACAAAAGGAACTGCATCAAGTATTGAAGCTATAGTAGGCTTGTTAAACACAGTATTTGAGTGTGTTTAACATTTAGACAACCATGAGCCTAAAGACAAACGCAACTGTATTGCCCTCTAAATGGTAGATTTTTTTTTTTTTATTGATGTCAGAGAGGGAGATGGAGAGAGAGAGAGAAACATCCATGCTGAGAGGGAATCATGGATCGCTGCCTCCTGTACGCCCCCTACTGGGGACTGAGCCTGCAACCCCCGCATGTGTCCCTGACATGAGAAAGAATCTTGGATCCTTTGCCTCCTGCACGCCCCCTTCTGGGGATCAAGCCCACAACTCAGGCATGTGCCCTTGATCAGGATCGAACGTGGGACCCTTCAGTCTGTAGGTTGACGCTCTATCCACTGAGCCAAACTGGCTAGAGCTAAATGATAGATTTGTTTGTCACAGTCTTATGAGCCAGCTTTCCAGTTACTTAATGTGTATTATATGATTACCCAAATAAGTAAATGTATTGTGGTTAATAGGAGACAGGTTTCTGTTGGAAAGGGGATTTATAATAATATGGACAGTGAGAAAACTAGAATGACCCTTGTGCTATTGGTTGAAATGGAAGATATTAGTAATAAAATTATGTTTTATTTTATTTTTAATATAATTTTATTGATTTCAGACAGGAAGGGAGAGGGAGTGAGAGATAGAAACATCAATGATGACAGAGAATCATTGATTGGCTGCCTCCTGCAGGCCCCCAACTAGGGATTGATCCCACAACCCAAGCATGTGCTCTTGACCAGAATTGAACCTGGAACCCTTCAGTCCCAGGCCAATGGTCTATCTACTGAGCCAAACCAGCATGAATTTGTTTTAAGAATATGTACACCTATACCAAAATATAAAAATAGAGATAGATGTGTGTACACATGAATTAGAATACACACATACATTTCATAGCTCTGTACACTGAGAGGGCCTAGAAACATTTACATTCTAGTAGCAAGAAGGCTGGGAGAATGTCTGGAGCATCTTGTAGTGACAGAAAAACATATGGGCAAGTCAAAGGGACACAGAATTCAATTTGAAGAATTCCCACTGGCCAAATCTGGGACAATTTGAGGGTCAAAGGAAATAATTATAGTAACTGATTATAATTCATTGAATAAAATAAGAATATGAGTGTACTGAGATAAATACATAAGTAGGGAGAAGAGAAAGCTCTTATAGTAGAACAGCAACTAATAAATATCAAAGGAATGTTGGTGTTAGGCAATCATCAACCAATGCTAAAGTGCATGGTTCAAAATTTTTATAGAGAGGTAATGATAAAGCAAATTTAGAAAAATGTAAACAATGGACGGATCTGGATAAAGTGTACATGGAATTTCTTTGTATCATTCTTGCTTTACTGTACATTTAAAATTATATCAAAATTAAGTTCCCTCTCCCCCCCAAAATAAAGAAAATAGTGATAGTCCTAGTACTGACATGTTGTTGCTAACTATACTAATTCTTTTATTTCCCAAACAAAAACTACTGTTGGCTAGTAGGGGGATGCAGAGAGGGGCCGGAAAGCACAGAGATGCTTTTTTTCCAAAACTGATTTTATTTTATTTTTTTTTTTTTTTTTTTTTTTTTTTTTTTAAATATATTTTATTGATTTTTTACAGAGAGGAAGGGAGAGAGATAGAGAGCCAGAAACATTGATGAGAGAGAAACATCGACCAGCCGCCTCCTGCACACCCCCCATGGGGGTTTTGCCCGCAACCAATGTACATGCCCTTGACCGGAATCGAACCTCGGACCTTTCAGTCCACAGACTGATGCTCTACCACTGAGCCAAACCGGTTTCGGCTCCAAAACTGATTTTAAAGAGAGGAAGGGAGAGAACCATCCACTCGTTGTTCCACCCATTCATGCATTCATTGGTTAATTCTTTTGTGTACCCTGAACAGGGATCCAACCGGAAACAGTTGTCACCCATTCATGCATTCATTGGTTAATTCTTTTGTGTGCCCTGACCAGGGATCCAACCGGCAACCTTGGTGTATGGGAATGACGCTCTAACCAGAGCCCCCACCCCCACCCCCGGGCAGGGCCCACAAGAGGGACTTATAATGCACTTTAAATTTGAATATTCCTGGTGTTTCGCCATCCTGTTTATGTTCTTGTTTTGCTTTTTAAATGAAGTTTTTTCGTTTGATTCACTGGTATTCTTTCTTCCCGTATATTTTAAATTTATTGGTAGTGAGGTTTTTTACTTAACAGGATGTATATAATCATGTTAAGAAAATCAGCATCAAATGTTAAAAAAAAAAAAAAAAAGAAAAGAAAGAAAGAAAAGAAAAAGGACAAGGGCTTCGCAGGAGGCAGGATCCCCCTTTCTAGTCACCCGGGGGTGGGCGGGAACAAGACAAGGCAGAGCTTCCGCTTTCATTTCTCAGGTTAAGTCAACCATTCTCCTTAAAGGAGAACCGTGGAAGGGTGATTTTCTGTCGGCCAAAACTTCCTTCCCGACGAGTCCACTCATGACACAGGGAGGCCAGAATGTCACATCAAAATGGATACTCTATGGGAGCTCTAAGGCCAGACCAGATGACCTAGCGTCCGGTAAAACATTAAATTACAATTAATCAGCCTTATCAGTTTCATTCTTTTCTCTCCGGCTCCAAAACGATGAACTTCCGGAATCGATTTCTCCCCCTCAATTCCTGGCCCAGTGGTTTGGTCCCACCCTCATTATGACAGTAGAGGGAGTTGCGTCTGCGCAGAAAGCTGTTGGGGGGGGGAGGGGGGAGGAACATGGCGCAAGCTCTGTCCGAGGAGGAGTTTCAACGGATGCAGGTGCTGCTCACCGGGGAAAAGACCACCGGGCTGGGCTACTGGAGGCGGAGTAGAGAGAGATCAGGCCACAGGCTCTGAGACGGGGTTGGTTGGGATGACCTTGAGTCTAACGGATTGGCCTGCAGAAGGGAAACTGAGGCTCTGAGTGGTGAGGCTATGGGATTCTGAGATACTATTGGGCTCTAAGGGGTTGAATTCTATGAGCCCTGTGGGCAGAGGGAAGAGTCCTAGAGTGAGGGTACCTTATTCAGACTTGGAGGGGATAAGACCTTTGGCCTGTGTGGGGGGGACACCACCGGTGGATGATGCTAACGTTAGGGTTCGAGGGAAGAAGATCCTGAGAGGGAGAAACCATTTTGTCTAGAGAGGAAGTGGGCGTTGGGTCATTTACGTCATAATGGGGGGAGCCCTTGAGAGGGCAATAATATAACCCGCTGGGAGGTGGACATTTTTGTGGGAGATACCATTGTGCCAGGGGGTTGAGGAAGGACCCCCACATGTTATTGTTCCTGGGAGGGGGGGGGATCCTGTGTGTGGTACTGGGAGGGGGTCCCAAGAGGGGGCAGGTACCATTGGATGATTAGGGGTAATTAGGCCTGGGGTAAAGAAGTCCCTGAATGAGTAATACCATTAATTCTTGTTAGAGGACCAGAGGAATGATACTTGGGACCACAAGTGGACATCACTGGGCTTTGGACAGGTACCCTGACTGGGTACTCTAACCACTTGATTATTTTTTATGGGGGGAGAGGCTCTGAGATGGGCTGAAAGACCAGAGTGGGCCATGGCTGAGAGAGGTCGTTACTGGGAAAGACCATTGGGTTGGCAGGGGGGTGGAGGGGGCGGGGGCGGGGGGGGGGTTCTGAAAGTGGAAAGCCCCGAGTAGGGTTCTGTGGGAGCAGAGGAGGAACTCTGAGGGAGGACAGGTCTCTGCGGGGAAGCAGTTATCCCTGTGTGAGAGACCCTGAGGGTGGAAGGTTGAGGTCATTGCACATGAAAGAGGACAACTCCTGTAACTTGTACAGGGGATTCCAAGTAAGGGCAATCCAACTGGACCACCCAAAACCTTGTGGAGGAAAATCTCTGAAGACTGTAGGGCCATCCCATTGGATCATGACTGGGGAGATCTTGAAGGGGGTGGGGACCCTTGGGTGAGGAAAATTGATTTCATTAGGACACGAGTGAGGGAAAAATTATTGGGCTCTGATGGATAGGAATTCTAGGTGGGTGCCAATTGGATTAGACTGTGGGAGACAGATCACTGGGTCAGGGAGAGGACAGAAGCAGGAAAGATTCTGCAGAGGCCAAGCCCTCTGACCTTTAGCACAGAACCAGGTGGGTGGAGGCTGGTGCATGGGAGGGAAAGATCCTGGTGGAGTAAGGGAGCCTGGTTCTGGGAAAAACTGGCATCAAGGCCCTATAAGGCTGGTAGGTATCTGAATGCTGTTTGACATGGTTCATATTTACTTCCCCTCAATCCTTGAAAAGGGACTGAGCATATTTTGAGAGCTTTTGGGGCTGGGGACCCTTTTTTACTCAGTGAAATTGGTCAAGAGACTACCAGGCACTCTCCCTTGGGAAAGAGAAAGGAAAGCAAGCCCCTGCCCCTTGCTCTGGCCAAAAGGATAGATACATTCACTCCTGACAGAAAGACAGTCAGAACAATGTTTAGTGTGTGACAAGGTCAGCCAGAAGAAGGAGGAGGAACTTTATCCTATGGGCATGGAGAGCCGTGGAATACACATAAGCAAGAGCCTGACTAGGTCAGTGCGTAGTGAATTGGAAGAGGAGAGATGGAAGCAGCAGGGAGATGGAGAGGTTCAGCTGGTTGTGATTCTAAATAGAACTGGAGAAGGTGGGGAGGGGCTGAGAGTCTGGAAGCTCTTTTAGGATGCAGGATGCACAGGTCTTAAGGAGCAACTAAAGAGGCACAAGGAGGGCAGCAGAGTCTGTGGGGCTCATGGGATTGGTACCCTCATGGTGAAGTTAGGGGCACATTCTTGACCAAACCATTTCCCTTCTCTGCTTCTCTACTCAAGGCTCAGCTTCTGGAACTCCGAACAAACAACTACCAGCTTTCAGATGAGCTACGCAAGAATGGCGTTGGTAAGCCAGAGGGCCTCCTTAGAGGGGGGTGGGTTTGGGGGACAGAGGCTAAGGGAGGACACCTCAGAGGCCTGGTGGGAAGACCTTGCAGCAACTGGCCACTGACTGTGGCTGACACCCCCTGCTCTACCCACACCAGAACTCACCAGTCTTCGACAGAAGGTCGCCTACCTGGATAAGGAGTTCAACAAAGCTCAGAAGGTAGTTCCCTCCACCACTCACCCACCCTGTAGCCATCTGACTCATTCATCGCTCCAGTGAGCCCCTCCGAGAACCAAATCTAATGTTACATGCTGTCATTAGTCATGCACAAAATTCGCATGGAATCTCTTTAGTTTGCTAATTTCATCTAATCCTGCTTAATGTATCGATTAATTTTAATTTACTCTCAATTCACTTTTTATTTCAATTACTTATTCTCATTCACAAACATTTACCTAAAGAGTCAAATCTAGTGGTAGATCTGCTTTGAACCTTCCTCCTCTCCTCCACTCTCCTGCCTTTTGCTCCTACTTTCCATCCTCGATCTGGTCCTGTTGGTAAAGTGACACTGAACCTACTTCTCCAGTCCTCTGAAGATGAGGTCGCATATAAGCTATTGTGGCCACTCCAGGCATTCAAGGTCCTCCTTTGTCTCTTCACTGCTCTGTCTGCATGCATACCACATTGTTATCCATAATGTGTGCTCCAGAAATACACGGTAGATGAGGAATACAGAATGTAGGAAGTCTGGCAGCCAGGGAGCTGGGCTTTTCTTTGTCCCTACCTGACAATGCCCTCAGCTGCTCAGCAGTGGAATAGCAGTTTCCCTGGTGCATGGCAGGGATCCACATAGACCTGTTTGGACAGGTGTAGCAATACAGCCACAATGTCTAGACTTGGAGACCCAGCCCATGAAAGGTTAAATACTAAGAACCATGAACAGCCTCAAGAGCTCAGAGGAAAGGATGTAAGTAGGATGCCACTCACTGCGTCATTCTTGTAGGCTACAAATTGTCATGCAAGCTACCATCCCCCAACCCCTGTTGACATTGTCCCCCCCCTTGATACTTAACCCTCCCTGTTTACCCTTTCTCTCTCTCCCATCCCTCACCTTTAGGCCCTGAGCAAGAGCAAGAAAGCTCAGGTAAGGGGACTCATGATGGGTGAATGTGTCTGGGAAACTGTCTTAGCAGGGATATTGTTATATGTTGGGAACTCCTACTACTGGCCTTTCTCTGTGGGACACTTGCATCTGTGACTGTCCATTTCACTGCCATATGTTACTGTGTCTGTCTTTGTTTACCTGTCTTCATTCATCTTTCACGCTGTGCTTCTCTCTGTGGGTTTTTCCTTCTCCCTTTATTTTTATCTTTCTCTCTGTCTTCCTTTCCTCTCTCTCCAACTCTTGTTTCTCTCCCCAACCTTCTCTTTGTTTCTCCCCACCTGTACCTATCTCTGCCATCATTTCTCTTTTCTTTATCTCTCTTTATGACTCTTTGTTTCTCTCTCTCCCACTCCTCTCTCTTCCTCACTCATTTCTTTCCCTGACTCCCTCTGTTCTCTCTGTTCTGTTCTGTTCTCCTTCTCTTGGTCTGTCTGGTCTTATCTCTCTGTTTCCTACCTTTTCCCCCTTTCTATCTCTCCATCCCTCTCTTCTTCCCTATCTATCCCCTTCCCCCATCTCTACCTCCTCTCTCCCCTATTTCTATCTACCTCTCCCTTTCCTCCCACTCTTTTTGACTCATGTCCCTCTCTTCCCCCCTGTCTCCTCCTCTATACCTCCTGGCATTTCTGTCTCCCTGTATCTCCTGATTTCGCCCGTCTCATTCTCTGTACTCTATCTTCTCCCCACCCGTGTCGTTTTCTCCCTCTCTATTCCTTTGCCCCACCTCCCCATCCTTTCTGCCTGTTGGAGACCTGGTCCGTGCCTGCCACTACAGGAAGTCGAGGGGCTACTGAGCGAAAATGAAATGCTGCAAGCAAAGCTGCACAGCCAAGAGGAGGACTTTCGCTTGCAGAACAGCACGCTTATGGCTGAGTTCAGCAAGGTGCCTGGGATAGCCGAGGGGGGGTGGTCTGCGGGGTTGGAGCCACCTGGACAGAAGGTGGAAGGCAGCTGAGGGCCATTGAACAGGGGCTGGTCCCGGACCACTGTCCATGGTGCTGAAACAAGTCCTAACTTGTTGCTTGGGGGGCAGTGGTTTGACTGATGGGGCTACCTACTGGGCTGTGATGAGAAGATTCCAAGCCCTGAGGTCAGCTGGTTCCTGACCAAGTCATTCCTTTTATCTGCGTTTCAATCTCCTTGTATATGTTTTGGGGCTGATGCTGTGGAACTCCAGAATGTTGGTGGGTAAAGTTCACATTTAACATAGGCTGGACAGATGTTCAAGCTACGTCCCTGTTCTCTTCCTGACACGAGCCTGGAGTTCTAGTTTTACAGAAATCATACTGGATGGGATAATTCTATCTCCTCAGTGTTTTTACTGTCCTGGCTATCTAAACTTACTAGGCAATCGGAGATATATTTGATTCTTTGTCTCTATTCTGTATTCATGCTCAATGATTTTCTAGGTTTTTAGTGTGTTTTAAGGAAAAATGTATTATGTCAACAAAATGTCATTTCCAAGGCTCCATGTAAGACTAGTGCTTAAGACCTTAAAATACAAATAAAACACACCAACCTGTAAGGAGGTACAATTCCAGGAGAGGTGATATAGCAAGGAGTAGTTAAGATCCAGGAGGCCTAGATTAAACTCTTGGCTCTCCCTTTTACTACTTCAATCTTGAGCCTGACACTTGATCTGCCTGTTTCTTGGCTCCCAAATGTTTAACATGGAAATGATGATGATGACAGTACCTACCGCGCATGGCTCTTGTGAGGATTGAACAGGCGAATGTCTGTTAGAACACAGCCTTGCACATTGAGGCAGAGGCAGGTGTTCCTCCATAATTCCCGCTCATGTTCTCCAGCATCTGTCCTGGGGGAGGCCCTGAACCAGGTAAAAAACCTCCTTCATACTTTTCCTCCTGGAAACTAGAAGTGCTCACAGAGACACCTGTGTGCCAGGCTTTCCTCTCTTCACTTATTTGCCAAGATATTTCAGCTGAATTGTTCCTTCAACAAATCCTTATTTAGTATCTGCTGTGTGCTCTGTGTTATGGAAATAGCTGTGAGGGGCACAAAACGGTCCCCACTCTTGGGGAGCTTACATTCTGGGGGTAAGATGGGGAGAAAGATTATAACATAGTAAACAAATAATAGCAGTACCGATAGCTGACAGCTATATAGTGTTTACTGTATACCAGGTCCTGTTTGATGTGCTTTACTAGTATCCCTGTTTTAACAGATGAGGAGAACTGAGCCCCAGAGAGAAGAAACAATGTGTCCTGAGGTCACACAGCTAATAAACGTCAGAATAGAAATTCACATTCAAGCAGTATGGTTTCAGAGTCTGTGCTTCTACCCTATATTACCAAAGAAAATGTAATAGTCCATTAAAATTTATGATCCAGAATTTTTCAGAGCTTTAAGGAATTAAAAACAGTGAAATTTATGTGTGATCAGTGCAGATAAGAAAGAAAGGAACAGAGGACTGTGCTAGAGGGTATTGGAATTTCTGTGTTAGGGAATACCACTTGAAAGGTGACATTTGATCGGAGCACTGGAGGATACAAGCCAGTCCTGTAGAACTGGATTAAAGGAATAATGTGCTGGGTAGAAAGTATTCCAAGCAATGGAGCGTGCAGGAGGCAGCCAGTTAATGATTCTCTCTCATTATTGATGTTTCTAGCTCTCTCTCCCTTTTCCTTCCTCTCTGAAATCAATAAAAATATATAAAAAGGAAGAAAGTATCCCAGGCAATGAAATAAAAATTCTCTGTGGGTCTCAGTATTCTCATCTGAAAATGGGACAAAGGATCTTGTCAGATCAGCTGTGAGAAATGTTAGTCAAGAGTTTAGGAGCGGGCTTAGTTTTATTTGCATTGCACACCTCTCCAAGGCCAAGGGCTGGCGATATGGGGCTATGGGCAGTGCTGGCCCTGGAAATGCCCTAAAAGCTGTCTGTGGTGCCTAGGCTCCCAGACACAGACCCTTCCACAGAAGAGGGATGGCGGTGGGGCTCTCCATGATGCAGACATCTTGGACCAGCAACTTCCAGAGGAGCCTGAGGTCTTGGATGACGACTGTGAGGTTGGAGTGGACAAGCAGAATATTGTTCTCAGTATTCTCAACCTTCTGTGGCTGCCACTTAACAGATGTGTGCATTTGAAAGTCATTTAACATCTGTGCCTCAGTGTTCTTATCTGTGAAGTGGGGATAATGAATGATGAGAGCAGTACATCCCAGGAGTGTTATGGGAATTAAATGAATTGGAAAGTGCATGGGCCAAGTGCTTTGTATATTTCAGCACATATTCTGATTCTCTGCCTTTCCACCACCCCGCTCTTCCCCTGCTCAGCTCTGCAGCCAGATGGAACAGCTAGAGCTGGAAAACCAGCAGTTGAAGGATGAGGCTTCCAGGGCAGGGGCTGCCCAGGCCGGAAGCGTTGTGGATGGGGAGCTGCTGAGACTGCAGGCGGAAAATACAGCCTTGCAGAAGAATGTGGCAGGTGTGTGTAAGTCCACCTGGGGATGTGTGGGACCCTGGGGCTTGAGTAGGGTGTTTTCCTCCTGGGGAAAGGTGGAAAGGCTTCAGAATCTAGCTTGGCCCTGCCATTAGCCCCAGTGTATGACTTTGGACAAGCCATTTCCCCTCTCTGAGCCAAAGCTTCCTCCTTTACAGTGTGTATAATGATGTCTGTCCCCTGGGCGACTGTAGCAGAGATAAGAGGTGGCACATTTCTGATTTTTCTGAGTTTAGTTCAGTGCCTGATACCTAGCAGATTTTACAGATTAGCAAATTGAGCGTCAGAAAGGAGATGCTTGCTAAACAGAGAAGGGGAATGAAGGAATGTTGGGAAGAGCTAAGTCTAGAGTGTCAGTGGGGTCTGAGATCAAAGCTGAGAGAAGACTATGAATGTGGGAGGGTTCTGATGTGTGGATTTCTGGAGAGCAGCTGGGGGTTGTGGGGTGGTGGGTGGTAGTTTGGTGACCAGGAGAGAGACTATAGAATGTGACTGGGGATCAGGAGTTCATAGGAAAAATTCAGCTCTAAGTGGGCAGTGGAGGATTGTGGGCATGCCCTTGGAGGGCTATGGGTAGGGCTTGGGTAACAAACTTGATCTAATTTGATGGTAGACAGGATTTCAGTAGTTGGTAGGGCTTAAAAGATTTGTGATTTGTGTGGATGGGGCTGAACCTTGGTTTTGTAGGCTTGTGGTCTTTGGGGCAGGGTCTCTGCTGCCTGAGGGGTTAAAGCTCCATTCACCCTCTATTTGACACATAGCAAGGATCTTCGAAGATCACCTCATGCATCATATATCTCTGTTCTACCCACTAGCTCTGCAGGAGCGCTATGGGAAAGAGGCTGGGAAGACTACAGCTGCCAGTGAAGGCCAAGGGGACCATCCAGAGGGCCAAGCCCCTGCCATCTTGTCCCCCATGCCACTGGCAGAGGTGGAGCTAAAGTGGGAAATGGAGAAGGAGGAGAAGAAATTGCTCTGGGAGCAACTACAGGGCTTGGAGGTGAGTTTGAGTTTGTCGGGGTTGGGATGCCAGGTGGTGGGGCAGATGCCCCTGACCCCATAGAGATGGTTGTGACATCACAGTCTCATGGGCTGATAGATTAGGGAGGCAGGAGGGCAGGGGAAGGCACACAGGAGGGTAGGGGGAGGCACAGGCCTAACCTCCCCCTTGCTTATACCAACCCCCTCCTTTTCCCTTCCCTATAGAGCTCGAAGCAAGCCGAAACGTCCAGGCTACAAGAAGAACTTGCTAAGGTAGGACTGCCAAGCTTTCCCTGGCCTTTGCCTTATCTCCTTTCCCATCTGCCATGCTTCCCCCATCAGGACAAAAACTGGCTGAGTACTCTCTCAGAGCCTCAGTTTTGTTGTCTGTGAAATAGACTCAAGCTTAACTCTCAGAGTTGCTTTCAATATGGAGTGGGCTAATGTGGTCCCACTATGTCCTGTCATGGTGGGCCCCATTCCTTTATTATGTGTCCTCCCAGCTCTGCTTGGTCATGCATCTGTCCATCAATCTACCCATCCATCCATCCATCCATCCATCCATCCATCCATCCAAGAACTTATAGACTGCAGGCTCTTATCTTAGGAATTGGAGACCCAGTATTGTGTAAGGCAATCATGACCCTGCTTTTCAGGCCTTCAAGCCTAGCCATTCTATAATGTAGCCATTGGTCAATATGTTGGGGATGTAAATGCTGGGAGATCATATTGTTGTTGCTGACCAGCTGGGCAATCAAATGACTGAATCCTTCTGGGACTCAGTTTCCATGAGCTAGCATAAGTAAATTCAGCTTCCAAAAAGAACTTAGAAGTATCTGTAAATGTTAAGTGTATTTTTGTCTTTACTAATAAGTTGTTATCATTTGTACCCTCTTCTCCACCCTAGCTCTCAGAAAAACTGAAAAAGAAGCAAGAAAGGTAAATTTCTTTTTCCCAGAATTGAGGGAAGGGATTTGGTGGGACTAGAGAGGACTGACTTATGGCACTGACTCATTTATGTCTGTCTGTATGTGTCTAGTTTTTGCCGTCTGCAGACAGAAAAGGAGACACTATTCAATGATAGCCGGTAACTACCAGGGTTGGAGGTATTGGTGGACAACAGGGACAGTGCCCACCAGAATTAACCTAGGACTACAGGGAGCAGAGCTGAGAGATTGGGCCTTAGATCATGGTCAATGTACCCCTTCCCATCACCCTTAGGAACAAGATTGAGGAATTACAACAGCGGAAGGAAGCCGACCTCAAAGCTCAAGTGGCTAGAAATCAGAAGCTGCAGCAGGAGCTGGAGGCTGCCAATCAGGTGAGGGGCTGGGTTCTGAGGTCACTAGAATAGGGACCAGGGCTGGGAGGACTAGGGAGCTCTGAGTCTAGGGAGACTAGTTGGAAAGTCTTAAGATTTCTTGTGTTGGAAATATAGGGACCGGATGGGTCCTAGGCCTCCCAAGAGCTAGGAAAATGGGAACTCGGGAGCCCCAAGAGCCCTTGGAGTTGAGCTAGGAGTCCACATGAAGCAGAGATCTCAGAGGATGAATCTGCAACTGGGGGGGGAGAGGGGGGTAGGAGACAGGAGTCTGGAGAAATCTGTGGTCACTGGGAACTGAGACCAGGAATTGGAGTGAATCTGAACTCCCTGGAGGTTGGATGACTTTGAGACCTATGTGGGCTGGGTAGATACAAGACTTTCAAGGATGAGACTGCTGGGCCTGGAGGTTGAGTGCATTTGAGGCCCTTAGAGTATTGGGTCGGAAGTACCTAGGAAGTTGGGTCATGGTCTGGGTGGTCCTGAGACCCTGTGGACTATGAATAGAAAACTAGTGAGGGTGAGACATCTAGGGACTGGAGCAAGTCTAGTTAGGCCTGAGGCTCCTGAGGATTGGGCTTGGGTGACTGTAAAGCCTCCAGGCTTCCCCCTAGAGTAGGTGAGTCTGAAGTCCTATGGATTGGGGAATATGGTAGCTTGTAGGTCTAGGGCTGCCAGAAGCTGGGGACAGAAGTCTGGGGAAAGCTGGGTCTTTAGTTAGCTAGGTTTGAAGATTCCCAGAGACTGGGAACCAGAGTGGCAGATGGTGGGTGGGATTTTCGATCTGAGACCTCACTAGGAGCTGGAAACTAGAAGACTTTATGAGTGTGAGACCTCTAGAGTCTGGGGTTATGATTTTAGGTAGATCTTAGACTCTTGGGAGCTAGGATATAGGAGGTCAGAGGAGTGAAACAATTTGAGGTTGGGGTCTAGAGTCTGGGTGAAACTCTAGTCCTTGAGGGCTGAGGATATCTGAGAATCTGGGGGCCTCCAAACTGGAATCTGGGTGAGTGTGAGATCTTTCACAGAGTGAGTTTGAAATCACCAGGACCCTAGGTGTTTTCTGAGGTGCTTGGAACTGGGATATAGGGGTGTCTGAGGCCTCTGGGTGAACCTGAGATCTCTGGTGGCTGGGTATTTTAAGACCCTTGAGTGCTGGGAACATGCTTTCGGGTGGTCAAAAAGGGAGTCTGTGTACCCCAGTGGAGGTTGAGATCTAGAATGGCTTCCCCTGATCTGGTCCCCACAGAGCTTGGCAGAGCTTAGAGATCAGCGACAAGGGGAACGCCTGGAACACGCAGCAGCTCTGCGAGCTCTCCAAGATCAGGTACATCATACGGTGGGCTCAGCGAGATGGGGGCAAAGGCGGCGCGGTGCCAGTGGGTACTGTACAGGCAGGCAAGGCCCCAGGGCTTCTGCTTTTTCTGGTTGTGGTTCGTGTGTGTGTGTGTGTGTGTGTGTGTGTGTGTTTGTGTGTCCGTGTCTTTTCTTGCCTGTCCTCCTATTCTGGACCCGCTCTCACTTGTTGTGGGCGTGGGACCAGGTGTCCATCAAGAGTGCGGATGCAAAGGAACAAGTAAAAAGACTTTTGGATGAGAAAAGGGCCTTGAGGATTAACCTGGCTGCCCTGGAGCAGGTACAGGACAGTTGAGAGTCCTTGCTGATCCCTTCCCAGTTTCCCATCCCCTTTGCTTCTGATTCATGTGGGGCAGTGTAGTCCTGACCTCATGCAGTTCTCCCACCTCGGTTTCTGTTTCATTCTCAGCTTCTTTCTGTTGGCTTCCCACCCTCTTCTCTCTCACCATCTACCCCTACTTCTCTTTGCATTCTAGTTTCTCTCCAGCGCAGTACAAGGCATGACTAGTCACAAGTGTACTCTCTGAATCATGTCTATCTGCCTATCTATCTGCCTATCTATCTATCTATCTATCTATCTATCTACTTATCTATCTTCATATAGCCACCACCCAAATCAAGACACAGAACATTTCTGTTTTTTTATTTTTTTATTTTTTGGACACGGCATTTCTGCACTCCAGAGATCCCTTCTGCCCTTCCCAATCTATACTTCCTCCAAAATAACCACTCCTCTGACCCCTAGCAACATAGATTAGTTTTCTTTGCCCTTTAACTTTATGTAAATGGAATTATACACCTACTTTTTGTGTCTGGCTTCCATCTTGCAGCATTATATCTGTGAGGTTTATTCATATGTAGCATTGGTTTGTTCCTTTATCTCTGTGTACTATCCCATCGTATGAATATACCATGTTTATCCATTCCCCTGCTGATCTTTCTCCCACTGTTTTTCTCTTTGAAATTCTTCCTCTCCTGGCTCTCTTTCCTCTTCCCTCCCTGTCTCCCTGGAACTGGGAGGCTCACACCCTGTGAAAGGCACCTTTTACTCCACTTCCTATCACCACTACTTTCTCTAGATCCAAACGGCAAAGACCCAAGAACTGAACATGCTCCGGGAACAGAGTGCTCAGTTGACAGCTGAGTTGCAGGTGCGGCAGACGGAGTATGAGCATCTCATGGGACAGAAAGATGACCTCAACACCCAGCTTCAGGTGACACCTCTTCTCCTAGTTCCCTTTTGCTTTGCTGGCTCAGTGGAGTTTGCAGTGAGGTGTGCTGGGAAGACTGTGCAGTCAGGAAGACCCTGTTTCCGATGTGACTCTCTTAACGTATTAGCATGTGTGGGTCCTAGACCAAGTTGTTTCCCTTTTCTGAGACTAAACATCTTCAGTTAGTTAGGAAAGCCATTCTGATTCCATAATAGACAGTAGAACAATAGTGGTTTCTAACGAGTAAGAGAGAAGATTCATTCCCTCTCATGTAAGAGTCCAGGTAGGTTGCCCAGGGATGGGACAATGGCTTCTGGTCCATCACTAATGGTCCAGATTCTGTCTACATTGCTGTTCTGCCACCTTCAACACAAGACTATCTCGGCATCCAAGATGCCTGCTCAAGCTCCCTTGCCATCATGTTTGTATTTCATCTGAGAGGAAGGAAGAAAGGGAGAAGGGCCCAGCATGCCCCTTCCCTTTACAACCTATATTACACTCACCACTGTTAACTCTGTGGCTGCACCTCATTGTGAGGGAGGCAGGGGAACATCAGCTAGACCAGCATGTGCCCAACCAGAAAGTCTATTGTTAGGGATGTGAGGGAGAATGAACACTGGAAAGCAGCTAGCAATCTGTCCTGTTTCTCCTGTAGAAACGCAGAGGACAATGCTCACTTTTCAGGGTTTAGGGAGATGTTCTACTGGAAGTGCCTACCTCTTGGGGGCTCTTTATCAAACTCACCCCCTTTGCCCCACATTAGGAGTCATTACGGGCCAATAGTCGGCTGCTGGAACAACTTCAAGAAACCACTCAGGAGAAGGAACAGTTGACCCAGGAACTACAGGATGCTCGGAAGGTGGGCACTTGGGAAGACTTCAAGAGGCGGGATTAGCCAAAACCGGTTTGGCTCAGCGGATAGAGCGTCGGCTTAGGGACTGAAGGGTCCCGGGTTCGATTCCGGTCAAGGGCATGTACCTTGGTTGCAGGCATATCCCCAGTGGGGGGTGTGCAGGAGGCAGCTGATAGATGACTCTATCTCATGGACGTTTCTAGCTCTCTATCTCTCTCCCTTCCTCTCTGTACAAAATCAATAAAATATATATATTTTTTTTTTAAAAAGAGGCGGGATTAGTCTGGTTCACGGGGATGGGGCAGGCAATGTGACCCAACTCATGGGGAAAGACAGGGATGGGAAGTGGACCAGTTCCACGAGGATGGGTGAGGAGCAGCCAGTTCTGTGGGGCTGAGGGAGAGGTGGAGTTTGGCATGTTCCTTGGGCCTGAGGAGCGGTCAGTGGGCCTTCTTTGGGAGAATGTTGACTGACATCCTCCTGCTCCACCTTCCTGGTCCCCAGAGTGCTGAGAAGCGGAAGGCCATGCTGGATGAGCTGGCAATAGAGACGCTACAGGAGAAGTCCCAGCACAAGGAAGAGCTAGGAGCCATCCGACTTCGGCATGAGAAGGAGGTGCTGGGGGTGCGTGCCCGCTATGAACGTGAGCTGCGGGAGCTGCATGAGGACAAGAAGCGACAGGAAGAGGAGCTCCGTGCCCAGATCCGCGAGGAGAAGGTGAGTGGGTAGATGATGATGCATGTCCACCTTTCAAACAGGAGGAGCACAGCACTGCTGATGGGCCAGGGGATGGTGCCCGCTCCTCCACCTGCCTGGCTCATGACAGTCCGTCCTCCCCAGGCCCGCACACGGGAGCTGGAAAGTCTCCAGCAGACAGTGGAAGAGCTTCAAGCTCAAGTACACTCCATGGATGGAGCCAAGGGCTGGTTTGAACGGCGCCTGAAGGAGGCTGAGGTGAGTTGGGGCCCGGTGAGGGAGGCACAGGGCCTGGTCAGGGGACATGAGAAACCAGGGGACAAGGAGTGGTCAGGCCTTGGAACTTTCTGAGATTCCCTGGCTCACTAGCACAGCCTAGTGGAGAGCATCAGGCAATGGCCATCAATAAGGCAGAATGTCTCCCCAGCTGGTTTGGCCCAGTGGATAGAATATCCGCCTGAAGACTGGAGGGGCCCAGGTTTGATTCTAGATCCCCAGTAGGGGGCGTGCAGGAGGCAGCTGATCAGTGATTATCTCTCTTCATTGATGTTTCTATCTATCCCTCTCCTTTCTTTCTGAAATCAATACAAATACAAAATACAAATATACTAAAAAAAAAGAATAGAAATATACCAAAACTGGTTTGGCTCAGTGGATAGAGCGTCGGTCTGCGGACTGAAAGGTCCCAGGTTCGATTCCAGTCAAGGGCATGTACCTTGGTTACGGGCACATCCCCCGTAGGGGGTGTGCAGGAGGCAGCTGGTTGATGTTTCTCTCTCATTGATTTTTAAAATATATATATATTTCATTGATTTTTTTTTGCCCCCCTCCCTCCCTCCCATATATACCCTCCCTCCCCAGAGTTTTATGTCCATTGGTTGTACTTATATGTCATTGATGTTTCTAGCTCTCTATCCTTCTCCCTTCCACTCTGTAAAAAATCAATAAAAAAATAAAAAAGAATAAAAATATATTTTTTTAAATAATAGGGCAGGCCCTAACTGGTTTGGCTTAGTGGATAGAGCGTCGGCCTGCGGACTGAAGGGTCCCAGGTTTGATTCCGGTCAGAGGCATGTACCTTGGTTGCGGGCACATCCCCAGTAGGAAGTGTGCAGGAGGCGGCTGATAGATGTTTCTCTCTTATCGATGTTTTGGCTCTCTATCCCTCTTCCCTTCCTCTCTGTAAAAAATCAATAAAATATGTTTTTTAAAAATAATAATAGGACAGATAATAATAATAAAAATAATAATAAATGTCAAATCTGCACATTTGAAAAGGCACCTTCTGAAATCATACTTCTGTCAGGAAATTATTGTAATATACTCATTTTGTTAAAAAAAAAAAAAAACTTTTACTGCCATTTTCTGGCAAACTCATCATAATACATAAGCAAAAATGTCACAGAGCAGGGAGGAGCAAAAATACTGGAGCCAGTCATTTGCCTGGGATTGAGTCCTCAATCCCACTTTCTAGATGTGTGACCTTGGCCAAGTTTTCTGACTTCTTTGTAGCCTGTATTCATCATCAGTAAAAAAGGGATAATAACAACACCTACTAAGTATTCTGGAGAGGGGAATATATAAAATAAGTTAACATATGTAAAATCTTTCTAACATTCCTGGCTTGCAGTAATGCTATGTTGTGTGTGTGTGTGTGTGTGTGTTTATTTCAGAGAGGGGAAGGGAGAAGGAGAAAGGGATAGAAACATCAGTGATGAGAATCATAGCTTGACTAGCTCCTGCACGCCCCCTAGTGGAGATCTAGCCCATAATCCGGGCATGTATACTGACTGGGAATTGAAATGTGACTTCCTGGTTCATGGATCCACGCTCAACCACTGAACCACACCGGCCGGGCTTATTAAATAAAATGTAAATGCAAATGTCAGTCTTGAATGCGAACAGCCGTGACACTTCTGTGTACCGCCTAAAGGCACACAGTGTTCCCTGCAGGAGAGTCTTCTCTGTGTACCTGGGGCTCCCTGCCGGGGTCCCTCACCGGCGTCACTGGGTGTGATGGTCTCTGGAGTTCACAGCGAGGCCTGGGACTTGTCTTGTAGGAATCCCTGCAGCAGCAGCAGCAGGAACAAGAGGACGCCCTGAAGCAGTGTCGGGAGGAGCATGCTAAGGAGCTGAAGGTGCCTATTGCGTGGTGGCTTTCCTCTCTGGGGAGGGAGAGGCCGTGGGACCTTCTCCCATGGTGAGGCCTGAGCTGCTCTCTGCTTTACAGAGCAAGGAAGAGGAACTGCAGGGCGTGATGGATCAGCTCCAGCAGGCCCAGGAGGAGCGCGACTCCCACCTGAAGACCATCAGCAACCTGAAGCAGGTGGCTGCTCCCTCCATGGTCCCCAGATGCACCCTGGGCTTCAGCTTGCAGTAACGGGGCGGGGAGGGAGCACAGCGCATGCAGCCAGCCTGGCATCACTAGCCGTACTCTCTCTATCACGCAGGAGGTGAAGGACACCGTGGACGGGCAGCGCATCCTGGAGAAGAAGGGCAGTGCCGCGGTAAGATGGGGGGTGTCCCAGCCCAGCCCCTCCCGCTGTGCATCCCCCCACTTGTGGCCCTGCTGGGCCTCAACCCCCATCTTTCCCCCTGTCCCCCCAAAGCTCAAGGACCTCAAGCGGCAGCTGCACCTGGAGAGGAAGCGGGCGGATAAGCTGCAGGAGCGGCTGCAGGACATCCTCACCAACAGCAAGAACCGCTCCGGTAAGGGAGGTGCACCCGGGAGGCTGAGGCCAGGGGGGCAGGGCTTGGGCCCGAAGGCTGAGCTGCTTCTTATTCCTCACTCTTGAACTTGGTCTGTGTCCCCTCTTCTCTGTGCCTGCCTCGCTGTGTTTATCTTTCTCTGCATCATCTCTTTCTTTTTTTTTTTTTAATATATTTTATTGATTTTGTACAGAGAAGAAGGGAGAGAGATAGAGAGTTAGAAACATCGATGAGAGAGAGTCATCGATCAGCTGCCTCTTGCACACCCCCTACTGGGGATATGCCCGCAACCAAGATACATGCCCTTGACCGGAATCGAACCTGGGACCCTTCAGTCCCCAAGCCGACACTCTATCCATTGAGCCAAACCGGTCTCGGCTCTGCATCATCTCTTTCTGTAGTCTCCATCTCTCTCTTTGCTGTATCTCATCTCTGTTACTGTCTCTCTGCCTCGTTGCGGCATCTCTCTGCACCTCCCTTTCTCTCTCTGCTTTCTTTTTCTAGTTCTCTCCTTTTCTCCTCTTGCCTTTTTAATTTTTGTCTCTCTCTGTCTCTGTCTCTCTCTCTGTCTTCTTTCTCTCTTTTTGTCTATCTCTCTCTCTGTCATCCCACATGTGCACTCCCGCACCTCACCCAGTGTCTCTAAATCACCCATATGCGTCCTCTCGTCTATAAATATAAATATGGACTGCCCGGCCGGTGAGGTTCAGTGGCTGAACAATGACTTATGAACCAAGAGGTGGTTCTATTCCCAGTCGGAGCACACGCCCGGGGTTGCAGGCTTGATCCCCAGTGGGGGCGTGCAGGAGACAGCCAATATATGATTCGCTGTCATCATTGATGTTTCTCTCTCTCTCACCCTCTCTCTTTTCCTCTCTGAAATCAATAAAAATGTATGTATGTATGTATGTATGTATGTATGTATGTATGTATAAATATGGACTGAGCCTCCAAGCCCATGATCAGGGTCCCAAATGGGAAAGCCTGCAAGTCTTAATCCTCCAGGAACTCCAAACTGAGCTAGAGCAGTGATCGGCAAACTCATTAGTTAACAGAGCCAAATAGCAACGGTATGACGATTGAAATTTCTTTTTTGAGAGCCACTTCTTCAAAATAGACTCGCCCAGGCCGTGGCATGTTGTGGAAGAGCCATACTCAAGGGGCCAAAGAGCCGCATGTGGCTTGCGAGCCGCAGTTTGCCGACCACAGAGCTAAAGGGATAGTGGGACAGACTCACAATCAGGCAGCGACACTGTGGTGTGATCATCATGCAGCCGAAGTCCATGTTGTTTCTGCCACTTAAGCCAGAAGATGCATCAACAGAAAATAATTGGAGTTGCTTTGGACTTTTTTTTTTTAAAGGCCTATAAATATGTTTAAATAAATAAATAAATAAATAAATAAATAAATAAATAAATAAGATTCCTTGATAGCTCTGGTGCAGCTCCAGAGAAAACTGGCTCCCTGTGCCCTCACAGCCGTCCTGCTCTTGCTGGGGACCCCGAAGGTATGGCATCAGCCCCCCATCCTGATGCCTTGCAGCAGCGGCAGGCTGAAGGCCTAAGTACGGTGGCCCTGTCTTCAGTGACGTAGCAAAAATGAGTGGATCTCACTAAATCAGTCTCCCAGACACGCTGTCTCCTGAAGTAACCTCTTTATGGAAGAGGAGTTTGCTTTCTGTTTGGTTACAGATTAATGTATGAATCAACAGACATTCCGGGGTGTGCTATACATTCTCCTGGTTAGATGGAATTCAGGTTTACATCCCTGGCCATCGGAATTCTCTCCATCTTTTCCTCTGTGTCTGCTCTGATTCGTGTCCTTATCCAGGGTGTCTGCCTCTGTCATCTTCTCCAGCTTGCAGTCTCTCTGAGGTTTTCTCTCTGCATGGGGGTGTTCCCCTGTGCCCTCTCAGCTGTCTGCACCCTGAGTCTGAGTGCGCATGCCACTTTTATGCCTGTGCCACATCCCTATCTTTCTCCCCATTTTAAAAAATATACATTTTTTGTTAATTTCTGAGAGAGGGAGAGAGAGAGACAGAAACATCAATGATGAGAGAGAATCATGCACTGGCTGCCTCCTGCACACCCCACACTGGGGATCGAGCCCACAACCCAGGCATGTGCCCTGACCGGGAATCGAACTCTGACCTCCTGGTTCATAAGTTGACGCTCAGGGCTTTCTCCTCATTTCTTCACCTTTGTCTCTGATGTGTGTGGCTTTGCCAAGAGAGGCAACTCCCTTTTCTGCTTCTGCCTCTCCTTATCCTTCTGTCTGCCCGAGTGTCTTCTTGCCTTTTTCCATCTCCTCAAATCGATTTCTGCCTCTTCCTGCCAGTTGCTGCCTTGGGACCTGGGGGATTGGAGCTCAGGTTTCTCTTCCCTCCCTGCCCAGGCCTCGAGGAGCTCGTTCTCTCGGAAATGAACTCACCAAGCCGAACCCAGACTGGCGACAGCAGCAGCGTCTCCTCCTTCAGTTACCGGGAGATCTTGCGTGAGAAGGAGAGCGCCACCATTCCAGCCCGGGTAAGGGGCAAGGAAGAGCCTTCAGCTCCAGCTGCTCCTACTCAAATTCTGGAGTCCTCTTCCCCCACCCACTGCAACCACCTCTTACTCTGGGCCCAGCACATACATCTCCTTGTCAGCCTTTCCCCAAGCTCACCAACTTTTTGATTCAGATTGCTAAGTAGGGGACAGGCAGATTATTACATATGTTTTTAAAATATATTTTATTGATTTTTTTACAGAGAGGAAGGGAGAGGGAGAGAGAGTTAGAAACATCGATGAGAGAGAAATAGATGAGAGAGAAACATGATCAGCTGCCTCCTGCACACTCCCTACTGGGGATGTGCCTGCAACTAAGGTACATGCCCTTGACCGGAATCGAACCTGGGACCCTTCAATCTGCAGGCTGACGCTCTATCCACTGAGCCAAACTGGTCAGGGCCAGGTTATTATCTTTAAGGCCCTGTTTCATCATCTGTGAGTTATGGCCTTTCCTGGTGCCATAACATAAGTGGTTCATAGTAGGTGCGTCATCCAGGTAGCAAGTCCCTTTTTCCCATTCATAATTGTCACTTATTGTTGTCTATTATGTCAGCTTCCCTGCCAGCTGCTTTTATTTAGAAATAATTTTTTTATTATTTCATATGTGTGCATCATAGAAAAAAATTTAAAACACACAAGCAATTTTTATCTTTATTAAATATATTTTTAGCCCTAACTGGTTTGGCTCAAGGGATAGAGCATTGGCCTGCAGACTGAAGGGTCCCAGGTTCAATTCCAGTCAAGGGCATGTACCTTGCTTGCAGGCACATCCCCAGTGGGGGGTATGTAAGAGGCAGCTGACCAATGTCTCTCTCATATCGATGTTTCTAACTCTCTGTCCCTCTCCCTTCCTCTCTGTAAAAAATTAATAAAATATTTTTTTATTGATTTCAGAGAGGAAGGAAAAAGGACAGAGAGAAACATCAATGATGAGAGAGAAGCATTGATCGGCTACCTCCTGCATGCCCCCTACTGGGGAATCAGCCTGCAACCCAGACATGTGCCCTGATGGGGATTCGAACCGTGACCTCCTAGTTCATAGGTCGATGCTCAACCACTGAGCCACAGCAGCTGGACACAAGCAATATTTTAAAAAAATAAATCCAAAGTAATCACATCTTCAACCCAGAGACCACCACTATAAATCCTTAGTTCATACTCTTCGGGGCCTCTTTCTCTTTTTTTAAACCTAAAGGAGATGATAAGTAACCTGTTTTTGATCAGCTGGTCTCTAACCCTCCAATTTGATAAATTTCTCATCGAATATTTTGACCTTAATCAGATCTCTCTAGTTGGCTCTAAAATGTCCTTTATTGCTGGCTTTCTGTAGCCAGCATTTTGTTTCAGAGCATGTGTTGCATCTGGTTGCTTTATGTGCCTTAAGTCTCTTGAATTTAGTCCGGTCCCTTTTTATGACACCAACCTGTAGAAGAGACCAGCCCAAGTTGACCTGCAGAAAGTGGTTCCGCCTTTTGGGTTTTCCTGCTGGCTTTCTGGTGATAGCATTCCGCTGGGTCCTCTGTCCCCTGGGTGTCCTGTCAGCTGGAATGTAGGTGACGTGCCACAGGCTCTCCCTTCACGCTCTCCATAAAGCTATGATGTGGTGGTTCCATCTCCCCTTCAGGCAGAGGGGCAGCCAGAAGCTCTGAGGGTGCCGAGGCTTGCCTACAGCCCTGAGTGCAGAACCCCCCCCCACACACACACACACCGGACCCTGGGCTTGGTTCTCATTCTCAGCTCTGATCCTGTCTGGGGCGCGGTACTGAGCCCAGGCTGTCCTCTCCCCTCCTCTTCCTCGCAGTCCTTATCCAGCAGCCCTCAGGCCCAGCCCCCCAGACCAGCGGAGTTGTCCGATGAGGAAGTGGCTGAGCTCTTTCAGCGCCTGGCGGAAACACAGCAGGAAAAATGGATGCTGGAGGAGAAGGTACTGCCTGCCTGCTTGTTCCTACATGGCTAGGAGGCCGGGACAGGGTGGTGGATGTTTGGCCGGCCCCTCCTCATGTGGGAACATGCGCAGTCCAAGGTCTGAGGTGGGAGGGGTCCCCCCTGCAGGTGAAGCACCTGGAGGTGAGCAGCGCCTCTATGGCCGAGGACCTCTGCAGGAAGAGCGCCATCATTGAGACCTACGTCATGGACAGCCGGATCGGTCAGTGCCCCCTCCCCAACCCTCGCCACTCATCCAGCCTTTCACCTGCTCCCTCCTTCCCCACGATCCAGTGCCCTGGCTCTGTCCTCTCCTCTTGGAGCCAAGCTAAGTCCTGACAAGACCCCAGCTGGCGGAGGGGAGAGCAGGACTTGGTTCCTCCTCTTCTCTGGGTCTCTGTCATCTCTCCACTCTCCTTTCTCTAGTGTGTCTCTGCCCCTTTTCTCCTTTCTTCTCCGTGTGTCTCTTGCTCTTTTCTCTCCCCCTTCTCTCTTCTTTGTGCCCCATTCCCTCTTTATCTTCTCACACTGTTCTTGTCTATATTGTCCCATGAACAGAAATGTCCTTTCTCTGTATGTGTGTCACTTCGGGGTCCTTATCTCTTCCTCGACTTAGTTATCATCCCCATGGCCCAGGGCTGGGCCATTAGTGACAGCCAGGGTTCACGTGGCTAAGCCTCTGCCCCCTACATGGTATGGTATGGCTTGTCTCCCCTTTCCCCTGCCCCCCCCACCCCGCTCTCTGTTTCCTGCTTTTCTGCTCTGGCCATTTGTCCTCTGGCTCTGCTGAGGGGCGGCTCTCAGCCTGGGCCCTTGCAGATGTGTCCGTGGCAGCAGGCCACACCGACCGCAGCGGCCTGGGCAGCGTCCTGAGAGACCTAGTGAAGCCGGGTGATGAGAACCTTCGGGAGATGAACAAGAAGCTACAGAACATGTTGGAGGAGCAGCTCACCAAGAATATGCATCTGCATAAGGCGAGTGGCCTACAGCCTGCCCATCTGTCCACGCAGCCACCCCACTCCCAAGGCCAGTGGTCGGCAAACTCATTAGTCCACAGAGCCAAATATCAACGGTACAATGATTGGAATTTCTTTGGAGAGCCACATTTTTTAAACTTCAACTTCTTCTAATGCCACTACTTCAACATAGACTCACCCAGGCCGTGGTATTTTGTGGAAGAGCCACACTCAAGGGGCCAAAGAGCTGCATGTGGCTCACAAGCCGCAGTTTGCTGACCACGGCCCTAGGTCATCTGCCAGTTCCCCCACCCCACCCATCCACCAACCATTCATCCTCATCTTCCCATCCTCCAGTCAACTTGTTATTGTCAGTTTATTTGTCCTTGCATCCACGCACTCATCCATTCGTGCACACAGTCAATAACTCTCCCGGCAATCCCCCTGGTCTTTGTTCATCTGCTTCCAATTCACCTAATCATCAGCCCCATGTCTTTCCACCCATTTCCTGACTCACTGCTCTCATGCTTGCCTGCTCATCAGCCACCCCTTATCTTAGCTTTTACCCACACACCCAGCAACCTGCCTGCCTGCCTGCTATCCTCCATCTGTGCTTTGAATAGTTCATTTGTCCTATTTGATTGCCATGGATCCCCCATGCGTCTAACCTACATGTCCATGTGCCCATCCTACCACCCAAATATTTACTCCATCTCTGGGGAAGTCAAAAGGAATGCAGACCTGGCACCTGCTTCTGAGAAGCAAGCTCATGATGGTGGCCGGGGTGGGAGGGGTCATATTCTCCAGCACATCATACACGGCAGGCGGTCCATTCCCATATCCAGACCCCACCTCCAGGGGCTTCCTCACCCTCACGCATCCACCTTTCCTGAGCTGGGGTCCCTGGAAATTTCTCCTGAGGCCTTTCTGTCCCAGGTGTTGGTTGATGAGGTAAGGATGACAGCCCAGGCTTCCCCTGCCACCTTCTCTGGCCCCTGACGGCTTGTTTGCTTCTTAGGACATGGAAGTTCTGTCCCAGGAAATTGTGCGGCTCAGCAAGGAGTGCGTGGGGTCCCCTGAGCCAGACCTACCACCAGGAGAATCCGGCTAAAGACCTGCAGGCTGCCTCCGCTCCCTCCCCTCCCCATCCTCTGAACACTATTCATTTGGGCTAACGTGGGGAATGGGGGCTGGCACCAAAATCAAATCGGTTGGGACACTGGACATTAAAGGGGTTGGAGGCCTTATGGCTGGTTGTAGTGACCCTGTCTTAGGACAGTGGTCCCTAGGGAGTGAGGACCCTGAGGGGACGGGGCAGGGATTGCCCATCGTCCTTGGCCCTGGCTCACAGGGGCATTTGCCTCCATCTCTGCATGAGTTCTCCCTCCCAGAGACCAACTGTTTTTTATTTTATTTTTAATTTATGTCTGGAATCCTGGCTACTCTGCATTTGGGATTGGGGATGTTGGGTGGGGTGTGGTCCATGTCAACATTCTAGCAACATACGTGTATGTGGTGTGTGTGTGTGTGTGTGTGTATGTGTGTGTGTGAATGTGTAAAGGTTGTGCAGCCAAAATACCATCTGGCCAGACGGGCCCATCCACTGACTGTCTGCTCTCATTCTTTCCAACCAGTAGGAGGGATGTACTGGGGCGGGGACGGGAGGTCACACCATCAGAATTGGGGGGGAAGTCTCTGCCACAACTTGACTCTCCTTCCCCCACCCTCACCCAGCCTGTCTCCAGTTACTGTGGACTAGCCCCTCAAACTGAGTGGAACAGAAATATCTGCAGATACATATGTGAACAGATGTGTATGGCATGCAGGTCTGGATGCATAGACAGATGGGAGGATGGTTAAGTCGATGAACTGATGGATAAATAAGTAGAAGGTTGCATGGATTGATGATGGATAGAATGGGAAGTAACTGGACAGACGGATAAGTAGGTGACTGGGGGAATAAATGGACTGTTGGGGGAATAGGTAGAAGATGGGCAGGGGGGGATGTAAGTGGACCGATGGATAGCTAGGGGAACACCTGGATGGACAAGTGGGCAGATCGATGGATGAGCTACTGAATGGGAAGAGAAGGTAGGTGAATAAATAATGGGGGAGCAGGGGATTACATGTGGATAGTTTGGGGAGTCATTAGGTAGTTGGAGTAAATATACAAATGCGTGGGTGGGCGGGTGGAGGGGTGGAGAAAGGGACACATCAGGAGTGTGAGGAGCTAAGAAGTGGAGGTACATGGAAAGGCTAACATTGGCCCTGCATCACTGCTCCCCAGCGCCCACACCTACTAAAGATGAGGCCTCTGTATGCCATGCCCCGTGCACCCCCTCACATCACTCCATTAATGGTCCCAGCGACACTGTCAAGTTGGGGCCACTCCATCTGACGGCTGAGGAGACAATGCAAGTCATTTGCTCAAGGACACAGGCAAGTCAGCACAGCTGGGGTTGGAACCCTCCTGCCAGCGCACTTGGTACCCAGTGCTCTTGCCACGGCAGCAGAGCCCTCTGAGGGAGGAGGGGTGATCTGAGGCTCCTGGATGCGGACAGATGGACACTTCCCCTCAGAGTGGACCTGCCTGGGAAAGAAGCTGGTATGGGGTGGGACCTCTCCCTTGTCCCCATCTGAACTCTCCCCCCTCCCCCCATGTGACATTCAAAACCAGGAGGATGGTGCTCCGGTCCCAGCAGTCTTGGTTAGAGTTGGCTTTAACCCATGCCCCCCCCCCCCCCAGCAGCTTTGGGGGTCTGGCGATCTAGAGAGACGCTCCCCACCAGCCCTCCAGCCACACCTTCTCCAGCCTTGGGGGGCAGGGAGTGGACAGAGCTGCATCATTCCCCGTGGCACTCCTCTCTAAGGCCATTAACAGACGCCTCCCCATCGATCGCATCTGCTAAGTGCTGCTGATTCAGACGGGTGGGGGTGGGGTCCCCTAGGGGCAGAGGGGTAGGAGCCGGGCAGGGAGAGGGGAGTCCAGGAAGGAGGTGGGGAGAACTGGCAAAGCTCCCTACCACCCCCATTTTCCAGATGACGCGACTGAGGCCCAACCAGCTTTATAGGAGGCGGAGTCTCCCCAGGGTCCCTCTCAGGCGGTCCTAGGGGAGGGGGCTCTGGGAGCCACGAGGCCCCTCCCTGCCTCGCCATCTCCCGGCAAGCTCAGAGGGGCGGGGAGAGAGAGCCAGAGGAGGAGGAGAACTCGGGCAGCTCTGCAGAGGGGGGCAGGAGCTCCGGTGTTTGGTACCCCAGCCCCTCCGCTGTTGCCGGTTGCTGCAGTGGGCACACAGGTGAGGTCGGCCCTGTGGGGAGTGGGAGGGGGCCACCGCCAGCGCTGCCCTTGCCCTTCCCTGGTCCAGCTCCCACGCCCTAGCCCATCCTGGGACAGTCCCCTGGACCTTGTCCTTGCAGAGCCGCCTTCCAGGGACCCAGCCCCCTCCTCTGTCTGTGCTGCCTTCTCTCCCAGGCCTGGCTGTGGCTGCTTCTCCTTCTCCTGCAGCCGCCGCTGCTGCTGCTGCTGCTACTGCTGCCGCCCAGCGCACATCACCAGCCCCTCGGGATGTGGTTTCCCCAGACCAGCCCCCAGGAGTGGGACACAGCCTGATCTTGGCTTCCCTCGCCGGCCTCCTGCCAGGCCCAGCAGCCCCCCTTCCTGGAGACACACCCAACTCCCTCTCAACATCCCACTCCGTTTCGAGGGGAATCCCCTTTTTCTCTTAGTCTTTTGCAAGCCTCTGGGTGTGTGTCCAACTTCCTTCCGGTGGAGCGCAGCCCCTTGGGGTTCCCCGGGCCCCTTCCCTGTCCCTGGAACTCCTGAGAGTGGAGCAGGCTTTCCCAGGCCCCCAAGACACCCCTCAGCCTCTGAAAAATAACCTCGCCCTTGCTCTGCCCCGTTAGACGCCCCACTCCCTGCTCCAGCCCCACCTCTCCTTCCTTCCCCAAACTCCTGTAGAATGTAGACACCCCCCCCAGGCTATTCTTGGCAGCTCTAGGCACTCCCAGGACACCTCTCAGCCTCTTTACAACCTCCTGGCTCTAGACATCCCATAGGTGGTGCACCAACCCCTTTCCTAGATCCAAGAAGGGATTCCAACCCCCTTCTCTTTTCCCAGAAGTCTTCAGGGTATGGACCCCCCTCCTCACCTGGCTCCCCACCACCCCCTAGCCTAGAACTCCCCTCCAGACACTGATCTCAGCCTCTTCAACCCCTTCTGGTCCCATTTCTCCGCCCCAGAATGCCCCGACCCCATGTCCAACGCAGCTAAATAGATCCAGTCCCTTCTTCCGTCAGGACTCCTGAGTGTGGACAGCTCCCGTGTCTCTTGCCCCCACTAGATACCCTCGGATCTCTCGGGCACACGCTGACCCCTCTAGAATCATCTGCCCCTAAACGCTCCCTCGGATCCTTCTCTGTCCCTCCAGACGCCCTCTCTCTGCTCCTTCCCATGTCCCCTAGCCCCTTCTCAGTCCCTCGAGCCATCTGTCTGTTCCCTCCCAGGCCCTCTAAATGCCCTGCAGGCCCCTGCCCCTGTGTCTAGTTCGTCCTCCACTTTCCTCTCGGCGTCTCTAGACACCCCCAGGTTCCTTGTGTGAGTGGCCCAGGGCCCCTCCGAGCCCCCACCATCCTGGAGACAGCCACCTACTCCTAAAGGCCAGCCCTCCCCCATCCCCCAAGTCTCCGAGGGGAGGGCCCGGGGCGCGGCAGGATGGCCGCAGGCGTGGCCACGTGGCTGCCCTTCGCGCGGGCGGCTGCGGTGGGCTGGCTGCCCCTGGCCCAGCAGCCCCTGCCCCCGGCGCCGGGGGTGAAGGCCTCCCGGGGGGACGAGGTTCTGGTGGTGAACGTGAGCGGACGGCGCTTCGAGACGTGGAAGAACACGCTGGACCGCTACCCGGACACCCTGCTGGGCAGCTCGGAGAAGGAGTTTTTCTACGATGCCGACTCGGGCGAGTACTTCTTCGATCGCGACCCCGACATGTTCCGTCACGTGCTCAACTTCTACCGCACCGGCCGCCTGCACTGCCCGCGCCAGGAGTGCATCCAGGCCTTCGACGAGGAGCTGGCCTTCTACGGCCTGGTGCCCGAGCTGGTGGGCGACTGCTGCCTGGAGGAGTACCGCGATCGCAAGAAGGAGAACGCCGAGCGCCTGGCGGAGGACGAGGAGGCCGAGCAGGCCGCCGAGGGGCCGGCCCTGCGGGCGGGCAGCTCCCTGCGCCAGCGCCTCTGGCGCGCCTTCGAGAACCCGCACACCAGCACGGCGGCCCTGGTGTTCTACTACGTGACGGGCTTCTTCATCGCCGTGTCGGTGATCGCCAACGTGGTGGAGACCATCCCGTGCCGCAGCCTGGCGCGACGGCCCCCCGGGGAGCAGCCGTGCGGGGACCGCTTCCCCACGGCCTTCTTCTGCATGGACACGGCCTGCGTGCTCATCTTCACCGGCGAGTACCTGCTGCGGCTCTTCGCCGCCCCCAGCCGCTGCCGCTTCCTGCGCAGCGTCATGAGCCTCATCGACGTGGTGGCCATCTTGCCCTACTACATCGGCCTCTTCGTGCCCAAGAACGAGGACGTGTCCGGCGCTTTCGTCACCCTCCGCGTGTTCCGCGTCTTCCGCATCTTCAAGTTCTCCCGCCACTCGCAGGGCCTGCGGATTCTGGGCTACACGCTCAAGAGCTGCGCCTCCGAGCTGGGCTTCCTCCTCTTCTCCCTCACCATGGCCATCATCATCTTCGCCACCGTCATGTTCTACGCCGAGAAGGGCACAAAGAAGACCAACTTCACTAGCATCCCCGCGGCCTTCTGGTATACCATTGTCACCATGACCACGCTGGGGTGAGTGCGGACCGGAGCTGGGAGCCGCCCCGTCCATTACACTCACCTTTTCTGTAACAGGAGGTGAGGGGCAGGAGCTCCGTTTGGGCTTCAGTTGGCGCATCTGTAAAAACGGAGGGAGTTGGACGGATCTCCACATCTACCCAGCTTTGACAATGACTTGGGTTCAAGGATTGTCTTAGCTGTCCCCTTCCTGTTGGCCTTATCTTCTTTCTCTGAGCTTGTTTCCCCTCTGTGACAGGAGAAGATGATCCCTTTTGAGGGGCTTTAGTGGCATCGTGGTTGTGAAAGTTTCTGGTACAGGATCAATAGGTATGGTTTTGTATCACCCCCTTTTCCATCTTTTTTTTTTTAATTAAAAATATATATTATTAATTTCAGAGAGGAAGAGGGAGAGAAACAGAAACATCAATGATGAGAGAGAATCATCGATCAATCGGCTGCCTCCTGCATGCCCCCCACTGGGGAGATCAAGCCTGCAACCCAGGTATGTGGAATCGAACCTGGGACCCTTCAGTCTGCAGGCTGACGCTCTCTCCACTGAGCCAAACGGGCCAGGGCCCCCTTTTCCATTTTGAGGACCCCTACAAGCACAGTGTGGGGCACTACCTCTGTGGCTCTCCAGAATAAGGCACTTTCAGTAGCATCTTTTTCCCTGACAATCCTTGAAAGAAAATAGTTGGGATAAAAACATCAAACGGAAGCTCCAAACTCATGCTGTTCTTGAGGACACTGCCTAGGGCACAGACTGAGCCTGTGCTAATTTCTGTCATCGGGATTAGGCACACTCAGAATCTGTTGAAGGGATGGATTGAGCTTGCTCAGGGTTTTACTAGAGGCATAGAAAAGTTGATTCGAGGTTTCTAAAGTTTAGACATTAATTCTGGCTGGAGGTTCAGGATTAGGTCAACAAATACTGAGCCTTGAAAATAGATTGGAACTGAGTATTTTGATGCCTTTTACCCTATTTAGTCTTTTGGGGGTGTTTTTTGTTGTTGTTGTTGTTGTTATTTTTTACCCTATTTAGTCTTCACAACAACTGTGGGTGGGTGGGCAGCTGCCCATGTCTCCTTGTTGAGGATACAGTCTGAGTTGACACATCACAGCGCCAGACATGCCCAAGTTGCAGAGACTTGTAAATAAGTCAAAATAAACAAATGAGTCAAAATAAAGACATGAGGCAGAGCCACGAGGGGTGGGGCACAGCTCGAGCAAAGGCTGAGAGGCTTAAGACTGCAGAGGCTGCGCTTTCGTGGAGGGAGTCTGATTGGGCCTGTGGTCAGGACAAAGGATGCTGTGTGGTCTTGAGCAAGTCAGCTGTGGAACCTCCTTGACTTTGGTTTGAGACAAGGTGGTAAGGTTAGCTCTGGTCCATCTCCATGGGTAGGGGATGGCATGGAGAAACACGTGGGGATAGTTTTGGGGTTTCCCTGGGGGGACAGGAAGGGGTCCTACCTAGAGAAGGTAAGACAGATTTAAGCAGGGATTGGGAGCCCTTCAGCTGGCCGGTAGTGGTGGAACGCTCTCTCTCCATGAGGCCACGTTTACTGCCTGTAACTTCCTCTCTCTGCCCCATGCCGGGTATTAATAGATTTCCAGCTGAGTCAGATGCCTGCACAGCTCGCATGGGGGCAGCAGATGGTAGGGGCTGAGGGCCCAGTCTCATTTGACCCCCACAGAAATGTCATCCCTCACACTGTGCAGAGTGAGAAACTGAGGCTCACAGAGTTTTGAGTGCCTGGCCAGGGTTACAGAATGAGTTGGATTGAATGGGCTGCAGTGGGGGACTGAGGGGTGGGCGGGCACTTTTCTTGACCTTTCCTTACCTCCTCTGGCCCCAGATACGGAGACATGGTGCCCAGCACCATTGCTGGCAAGATTTTCGGATCCATCTGCTCACTCAGTGGTGTCCTGGTCATCGCTCTGCCTGTGCCAGTCATTGTTTCTAACTTCAGCCGCATCTACCACCAGAACCAGCGTGCTGACAAGCGCCGAGCACAGCAGGTAGATGGCCCTCCCCTCTCCTATTCCCCCCACCCCAAGCCAGTCCATCACCTCTCGTGTTTACCCACCTGACTCTTTCTCTCCTCTCTGTAGAAGGTGCGCTTAGCAAGGATCCGGTTGGCAAAGAGTGGGACCACCAACGCCTTCCTGCAGTACAAGCAGAACAGGGGCCTTGAGGTGGGTAGGTCCCAGATTGGGGCTGGCCATGAGCGGTGATGGGAGGAGGAAGGGGCTGACCTCACGTGTCTGCTCCATCCGCTCCAGGACAGCGGCAGTGGGGAGGACCAGGCCCTGTGTGTCAGGAACCGGTCTGCTTTTGAGAAACAACACCACCACTTGCTGCACTGTCTCGAGAAGACAACGGTGAGACCTAAGGGAGAAGTGGCATGGCAGAGTGAAGGGGATCTCTCTGCCACCACGCCAGCTCCCCCCTATGGACTTGGCGGCTCACGACTAATTGTGGAAATCACGCAGGGCTTCCTAGAGCTGAGCCTTGGCGGCTCACTACTAATTGTGGAAATCACGCAGGGCTTCCTTCAAGCTGAGCCTTGAAGGGTGGGCAAGGGAAGGAAAGAGGAAGCAACTTCCAGAAAGGAAGGCAGGGCGTAAGCAAAGGCCCGGTGGCGGCGGCAGCTCTTACGTGGCTCTTTGTGACCGTGCCTCCCTTCTTCCTGCAGTGCCACGAGTTCACAGATGAGCTGACCTTCAATGAGGCCCTGGGTGCTGTCTCGTTGGGTGGCCGCACCAGCCGCAGCACCTCTGTGTCCTCCCAGCCGATGGGGCCTGGCAGCCTGCTATCCTCTTGCTGCCCCCGCAGGGCCAAGCGCCGTGCCTTCCGCCTTGCCAACTCCACTGCCTCGGTCAGCCGTGGCAGCATGCAGGAGCTGGACACGCTGGCGGGGCTGCGGAGGAGCCCCGTCCCTCAGAGGTAAGAAACCCCGCCCCCTGGCCATGCCTGAGGAAGCTCAGAGCTTAGACCAGAGGGTCTGAGATTTCATGACTTCAGGCCTAGCAAGTCAAGCTCAAACCCAAACTCCTCCATGCCAGGAGCTTGGGCTTGTCTTGTCTGGAACTCCTGGTTCTTCATTCATTCTCTTGTCGTTTATTGAGCACCTACTATATGCCAGGCAGAGCTCTAGGCACTTTGGAGGTCACTTCGGGCAGAAATCTCTGACCTGCTGGAACTTATATCCTAGTGGGATGTGACCGTTAATAAACAAATACACAGATGATGCAGTGTGTTAAGTGCCAAGGAGAAAAATAAATCAGGGATTTATTTCAGGGGGACAGAGAGAGTAGAACAGGGTATGACGTAGTTTTAACTGTGTGGTTAGGGAAAGCTTTGCTGAAGTGATATCTGAGCCAAGACCTGAAGGAGGTGAAGGGGTGAGTCATGTGATATCTAGAGGAAGAACATTTCAGGCAGAGGACACAAACCCCGAAGCAGAACTAGGTCTGTGCATCCCTAATAAGGAACCAGAAAACTACGTGAGGAGAGTGGAGTGAGGGAGGGACAAGAGTGGTGGGAGATAACATCAGAAAGGAACAGGGACAAGATCACGTAGCTCTCTTACTGTACACTTTTGTGAGGACTTAGGATTGTAAGGAATCTATCAGAATAGATTTTTTGTGTCTGTGCGCCCATTGTGTTCCTATTAGTAATTAGTTCCTAAGTACTATTCTGAGCACTCTGTATCATTTATTATCTCAATTAATCTTTACAAGAACCCTATGAGGTAGGAATACAGCAGGTTCTTGAATGACATCATTTTGTTCAATATCGTTTTATTATTATTTTGTTGTTGTTCCTTATAAATTACCATTTACATTCAGTATTCTTTGTATTCGTTTTAGGTATACAGCATAGTGGTTAGACCATCATACTTTATAAAGTGTTCCCACCAATATTTCCAGTGCCCACCTGGCCCCATACATGGTTATTAGAATATTATTGACTGTATTCCCTGTGCTGTACGTTCATCCCCATGACTATTTTGTAACTTCCAATCTGTACTTCTCAATCCCTTCATCTCTTTTACCCAATCCCCCACCCCCTTCCCTCGGGCAAACCACCAGTCTGTTCTCTGTATCTCTGAGTCCGTTTCAGTTTTTTGTTCACCTATGTTATTCTTCAGATTCCACATAGAAGTGAAATCATATGGTATTTGTCTTTTTCGTTGTTGTTATTAATACTCACCTGAGGATATTTTTCCATTGATTTTTAGAGAGTGGAAGGGAGGGGGGAGACAGAGAGAGACATCGATTAGTTGCCTCCCCCATGTGCCCAGCCAGGGCCAGGGATAGAGCCTGTAACCTATGTATGGCCCTTGACCAGAATCAAATCCTGGACCCTTCAGTCCATGGGCTGACTATCCACTGAGCAAGACCGGCTAGGGCTGGTATGTCTTTCTCTGTCTGACTTATTTTACTTAGCATAATGCCCTCTAGGTCAGTGGTTCTCAACCATTTTAATGCCGACGACCCTATAATACAGTTCCTCATGTTGTGGTGATCCCCAATCATAAAATGATTTTCGTTGCTACTTCATAACTGTCATTTTGCTACTGTTATGAATCGGGACCCACAGGTTGAGAACTGCTAGCAGGGTCGCCTAAGACCATCGGAAAACATAGATATTTACATTACAATTCATAACAGTAGCAAAATGACAGTTATGAAGTAGCAACGAAAATTATTTTATGGCTGGGGATCACCACAACATGAGGAGCTGTATTAAAGGGTCGCGGCATTAAAAAGGTTGAGAACTACTGCACTAGGGCCATCCATGCTGTCACAGATGGTAAGATTTCATCCTTTTTTGTGACTGAGTAATATTCCCAATACCATTTTGTTATAACATTGGTGAAATGACTAGAAACTTAACCCTTGTTTTTATTCATTAGCCTGTGATAAAATGTGGGTGTGCATCATTTCACTTCAAGTCACAGAACTCATTAACGATGTTAAGTTTGGACTTACTGTATGATTATTCCCATGTTTCACATGAGAGAAACGAGAGGTTTAGAGTAGTAAAATTGGGATCGGGATTCGAACCCAGGACTGCCTACCTTCGGAGCCCTCACAGTGATTGGGGGGGTACAGGGGAACCCTTTAGCACAGTGCCAGGGATCCAGTAGATGCTCAATAAAATGTCCTGATTGCTGTAGGCAGTATTAAGATGACTTTTTAAGAACCTTCTATCTTCCCACCCTTATCCACAGCCGCTCAAGCCTCAATGCCAAGCTCCATGACAACCTTGACCTGAACTGCGACAGCCGGGACTTTGTGGCTGCCATCATCAGTATCCCTACCCCTCCTGCCAACACCCCAGATGAGAGCCGACCTTCCTCCCCTGGTGGCGGGGGCGGGGCCAGCAGCACCCTCAGGAACTCTAGCCTGGGTACCCCTTGCCTCCTCCCTGAGACTGTGAAGATCTCTTCCCTGTGAGGGTTGGGCCCAACCATCCAGAGGGCCCTCTTGATTCTAGGGGACTCCTTTCCAAAGCCATATTTTTGGGGAGACAGATAGGGGCAGGCCTGGGGAACCCCTTCTGCCCCTCTCCCCCATTGAGAACTATGCAACGGAGTTTCCTGGAATGACCTACGTTGTGGGGATGTAGCCAGGGAATGGGACACCTCCCCCACCCCAGACAGATTTCCTGGTGGTAGCTGAATGGCTAGGCTTTCCTCAGGTCCCAGCACACTGGGACCGACCCTCCCCCAGAGCTGGCCTCCTGCATGCTCCTCTCCTTGGGCCCTCAGGCTCCCACCTGACATCTGAGCTCCAGCCTGAGAAGACGTGACACTTCCCCTTCTCTCTATCAGGGGGGTGTGGAGGTTTGGGGATTCCGGGAAAACATCTGGCCTCCAAGAGAGGTCCCCACCCTCCACCAGGCCCAACAACACCTAAATTCCAAAGCTTGGAATGCAACCACAAAGCTTCAAGGGCTGTGGCCTCAGCAGTGACTTTCCACCCCCCAGGCCTAGCCTCAGGGGTCAGGCTGCCTCTCCCAACACACTCAGATAGCACAAACACTACCCCCTCCTCTGGCTGCTGGGAATGGGTCTCGAAACCTCCCTCCTTCGCTGGGCCCCCAGCAAACTAGCAATAGCAGCTGCTGCTGTGACATTATGCAAAGCCTCTGCCCAGTTTGCTGCATTTACATCTGCCCTAATCAGAGGGGCCACCTCTAATACTCCTCCTCCTCTCCCCTCTGGTCCACTTCTTTCCTGGGTTGGGCCGGAGTCTGGACCGGCTGAGATAAGCACCTGGCAACCTACTAGGTTTGGGCTGGGTTTGGAGATCAGGAGCTGATGCCTCGTACTTGGGCAGGAATCCAGAAGCGCCTGGATCTGAGGCCTGGGTTGTTCTTGAACCCTGGGAGCAGAAGGAACTTCTCTACTCCTCCCCACAATACCTTTTCGCGGATTCCTCTCTCTTCTCGCTCTTGGGTCACCTTCCGGAACTCTGTTGTTTGCTCTCAGGCTGATTATCTGGCATTATCTCAGGTTCCCTGTCCCCAGCACTGTCCCCACTGGTGGCTGACAAAGATGTAGTTTTCCTCCGTCAATAAAACCTGAGAGGAGAGATGAGGATGAACACCACCTGGCTCCGTGGCTGTGGGGCTGGGGAGGGCTGGGGAGATCAAAGTCCTCCGATTTAAATTCCTTCCAACCAGGAGAAGGGCCGGTGTGGGTGAAGGTATGGGAGGCAGACGGTTGGTGGCGTGTTCTAGAAGATGGGGATCTAGGAGAGATGAAAAAGCGGGGCTTGAAGAGTTGACTCGCCAGCCAGCAAAGCAGACTAGAAGGTCCTGAGACACACGGACATCATCTGCTCCAGCTTCCTCACTCACAGATGGGGAAACTGAGACCCAGAGCGGCACATGCTTGGTTTGGGGGAGACTTAAACCCCGGTTTCCTGACAGAAAGTGGCTCTGAATTGAACCCTGATGAAAAGCATCGCTCAGTGCGGCAACCCCCCCTTCCTTGTGGATGGCCCTTCATTTTCTCCTCTGAGCTACTGGGTAGAGTAGGCTAGCGTGTGACTGAGCTCTGTGGAGTACTGAGAAGACAGACCTTGGATTCAGGTCAACCTGAATTCCAATCCCTGGGAAAGAGAATGACTTACCTTTTCTTACCCCAGGCTGCTAAGCTGTGAAATAGAGATAATCCTTTCTTCTGTTCACCGAATATTTATTCACTGGATATCATCTGCTAGCCCTATGGGTACGGAGATGGGCAAAGCAAACATCATTTCCGTTCTACAGAGGTGAACATGGAAGGCAACTAAGCAATTACAGTATAGTGCAGGAGAACCAAGATCGATGGATTACAGAAGCATGTAGAGAATCTAACCTGGCCGACACAGGAAGAATGAGGGCAGTTAGCCAGGTGATAGACAAAAGGGTAAAGATGTTCCGGGCAGAGGAAACAGCATGTGCAAAGGCCTGGAGGTTAGAGAGCGAGCTTGGGGGTCTTTTGGGACCTCAAATTAGTTGAGTAGAGCTGGGAAACAGAGTGTGAGGCTACGATGAGGGTGAGACTGTAGAGGTAAGTCAGATCACAAAAGGCCTGTTAAGCTAGCCTTGGACTTCATCCTAAGGATAATGGCTTATCAACAGAAAGTCATCATGCGGTTCGTGCTTCCGAATGATCATTCTGGTTGTGGAGAGTGGGTTCGAGAGAAACACTCCTGGAGGGAGGAAGAACAGTGAGGAGGAGGCTTTTGTAGTTGTCAACACAGCAGGCCCAGTAAACGTGAGTCCTCTCCCATGAAGTGGTGCCCTGGCTGGGTAGTGGCAGTAAAAGTTGGAGAGGTAGAATTGGCAGGGCTTGGGATTGACAGGAATCTGGGAGTTGGGGAAGAGGCAAGGCTGGGGTGCCATGCACTGTCAAAGGTAACATCCAAGCAGTTAGCACCTAGTTCCAGGCACACAATAAGTGCTTGGTGATGACTAGCTACCCTTGTGTAAGTTCCATTTTAGATGTGTGGTCGAGTGACATGGTCATGAAACGACTCAATGTGATAATGTCCATAGGCGCAGTGGCTCTGAACACAATAGGTCCAATAAACTTGAATCCTCTCCCATTAAGTCTCATGAAAAAAACACACAATAGTACGTCTATTACTGACAACCTTCAGGGAAGACTTCAACTAGGGTTGGCATCTGAAGGAAGTTTACATGGCACTCTGAAGAGCTTTTTGATGGTCTCTCAGTCAATCTGTTGTATGACTTGGCCCCTAAGACACAGCGAGCCTCCACCTCTCACAGCAGCTTCTTGGTTTATGAGCTCAATGGAACCCCACAACTCCCCGAGGTAGTCTGGGCAGGCATTATCATTCCCATTTTACACACGGGTAAGCTCAAATTTGAGACATAGCAACTTGCTCAGGGGCCTACAGTTGGTAATGGACCATCCATGTCTGGAACTGAGGTCTTCCTGACTACAAAGCCTGGGATCCTTGCCTGCGCACCATCGTGCTCATTTATTGAGCACTTTCTAAGTGCCAGGAACACTATCAGACCCTTTGTGAGTCTGGCCCTTAAACTGGAAACATCATTGCCATTTTATAGAGAAGTAGACGTTGAGTTTGAGTGGATGTTAAATGACCGGCCAGGGATCACACAGACAAGAGGAGAAGGGCTAGATTAGCTTAAGTCTCCGGCTACTCAGCAGAGATTTTCCTACCCCCAGCGTGAGAGACGCCGGCGAGACAGAGATGGGTACATGCAGTGTAGCTCAGGCGAGGTAAACACAAGTTTCCGAACCAAGTAAATAAAAGGCGGCGATGCGGCGCCTGCGCACCAGCCGCAGGGGCGGGGAGGTCAACGCGGGGGCGAACGAGAGGTAGTGCCAAAGGGGGCGCGTCCGCCTCCCAAACACCCACAGTCCCCACGGTGCGCGGCCGCCCCCTGGTTGGCTCGTCGGCTCGAGTGACAGCGCCTCTCAGGCAATCACCGCAGTCCTCAGCCTTTTACCGCGCGAAGCCCCGCCCGCCCGCCCGGGGGCGGGGCTTTCCCGGTGGGCGGGACCGGAACTGACGCTGCGCGGGACGGCTACGCTCCGGGAGTGTTGATATTTTCCTGTCAGTCCCACTGACAGCGGCCAAGTTGGAAGCCCGGAAGGGAGGCGCTTTTGAAAACTCGTGCACGGGGCCGGGTCAAGCCGTCCTGCCCGTCGCCGCCCCGCCGCCCGCCAGCCAGAGCCTCAGGGAAAGAAGTCCAGAGCGGGACGGCGCGGCCAGAAGAAAGGCCGAGAACCGGGGCGCCGACTTAGAGTGAAATCCGAGCCGGAGGGCACGGGAGGGCGATCGCTCACCTCTGATTGGCCCTGGGGCGTCAGCGAGGACCCACGCCGCCACTTCGATAGGTCGGTGCCCGCGATTGTTGTGGCGGCGGCGAGGATTTTGCCCACGTACTTCCGAGCCAGAGGCGGGGCCGCGCCGCGGCGCGCTTGCGCGGCGCCCCTGGACCCCACCCGGTAGTTCAAGAACCTGCGAGGGGGCGGGGCGAAGAGGTGCTTGTTTTGGTTGAGTTTCCCTTGACCGGGAAGGCCGGAAAGAGCGTAACAATCGAGTTGCCGAACTCCGAGAGTGGGCGACGACACTCGCCGCGCTGCCTGCACCTTCGACTCCACATCCGGGCTCTTCCCGTCGCGTGACCTGCGCGTCGCCTCCGGCTCTCGAACCCGGTGCCTCGATCCTCTTTATCCAGGCCCGCCGATCCCGTGGTGCTCCGCGCACCGCTTTAGCCCCTCATCCGGGTTCTGTCCCGGCGTGCCGCGCGCCGGGTTTGCTGGGGGGTACTCGGCGGGGCCGCCATGACTATTCTCCCCAAAAAGAAGCCGCCGCCTCCCGACGCCGACCCCACCAACGAGTCGCCGCCGCCCGGGCCGCTGCCCCCGGCGCCGCGCCGCGGCGGGGGGGTGGGCGTGGGCGGTGGCGGCTCGGGCGTGGGCGGCAGCGACCGCGACCGGGAGTCGGGTGTCGTGGGGGCCCGGCAGCGGGCCTCGCCGCCGCCCCAGGGCCAGCTGCAGGGGCCGCCGGGCGCACTTCACCGCTGGGCGCTGGCCGTGCCGCCGGGCGCCGTGCCGGGTCCCCGGCCCCAGCAGGGCTCTCCGCCGCCGTGCGGGGGCCCGGGCGGGCCCGGCGGCGGGCCCGGCGACGCGCACGGGGCCGCGGCAGCAGGTGTAGGCGCGGCTGGCGTGGTGGTGGGCGTGGGCGGCTCGGTGGGCGTGGGCAACTGCTGCTCCGGGCCCGGCCACAGCAAGCGGCGGCGCCAGGCCCCCGGGGTCGGGCCGGTCGGCGGGGCCAGTCCGGAGCGCGAGGACGTCGGCGCAGGTTACAACAGCGAGGATGAGTACGAAGCGGCCGCAGCGCGCATCGAGGCCATGGACCCTGCCACTGTTGAGCAGGTATGGGCTGGACCTGACAGGTGAGCGGGTGCGGTGGCTGGTGGCCTCCCCAGGCTGAGTCGGGACCCAGGGCGCTTGCACGTCACCCCCCGGAGCCTGTCACCGCTTTCTCTGGTCGTAGGGGCAGGAGACACCCTGTTTACCTGCCCGCTTTCCCCCCCAAGGACTTGAGGTTAGAGGCCCGAGGTAAGGTGAAGGGCTTAAAGACGGTGTTTGTGGTCTCTTCGGGGCGCTGGGGCCTCATCTGGAAGGGCCTGGAGGTGGGAACTCCCCGGAGACACACGGGCAGAGTGAAATGCCTCCTGGGAGGGAGTCTCAGGACTCTCCAGGGACCTTGGTGTGTGTTCGGTGGCTTGAGATGTGTTTTGCTCTGAGACACGGGTAAGGTGGAGACCTCAGCGATGTTTGAGTGATTCCCCAAGTACCCAAAGCCTTTCAGGTCTGTGAGACACTTTGAATAGGTCCCTAGGACAACCCCTCCTTCCTTCTCGGGGGGACACAGCACAGGACCCTCGGCAGTGGGGTCTGACATTTCCTCAGGGGTCTTAAGCCCGCCTGCAATGGGCCTGAGACACGCATAGGCGGCCCCTTTAGGGAGAGGGATCCTCTGAGCTTGCCTCCAGGGCTATGACTTTTCTGGGGAGAGAAGATCCCCTTCCACTTGGGGACAAGAGCCAAAACCCATAGCCAGGGACCAGGAGATTCCTTCTCTTCATTGACTGGGTCTGTGCTTCCTCCCGGTAGTCTGAGACCTAAGTACCCCCCCCTCCAAGCTGCATGGAGTCCCCAGGATGGAGTCTGAGGCCTTCCCACAGACCTAAGCCTGCCCTCAGGGGCCTGAGACCCACTGTGCCAAGGACACTTGAGCTTTCCCTCAAGGGCAAGAGGCCCTTAACTTACCCCAGTGCCTGCTGTGTCTCTATAGATGAGACCTGAGCTCAGGACTAGAACCTGCCACCAGAATTAATTCCGGACACTCTTCCCTTAGGGCATAGATAGCTACAGAGCTCCTGGGGAATGTGGTCCTGAGTCTTACCTGCCCCTCCCCAAGAAATTGAACTTGCCCGCACCTACGTGAGACACCTCCCCCGCCTTAGGACCTGAGATCTGGGCCTACCTGATAGCATTGACTATTACCTCACAAACCTGAGTCACAGTGGCCTTCAGGGCCATGAGATTTCCTGTCTTGGGGACTTGAGCCTAAGACCACCCTCCACTTGGGAACTAAGTCCTGAGGACTGCCCTTCTCCCCTTGGGGACATAGGTGTGGTGGGATTCTGAGGGAAAGAACCTGAGCCTCCTCCCAGGGGCCTAAGCTTCCCCTTAGGGACCAGAGCGCCTTCACTTCAGGGAGTGGTCTGAGCCCTATCAGCCATGGGTGTGAATCCTCCCTTAGCCTGGCCGCCTCTTATCACCTTAGGTCCTCCCCTTGTGGCCTCAGGCTTCCCCCAGTGCTCGGAAGTACCTAGTGCTCTTAGCTTCCGGCCGGGAAGGCCTCCTGACTTTCCTCCTGACTTTTCTCAGATGTCCGTGACGGGACAGGGGACTGAGGCCTCCCCGCAAGGACTGGCAGAGATTCCCAGATTCAGCCTGACCCAGCTCTGCTTGTTTCTCATCTCCAGGATCAGGGAACCATTCTGAGCTTCCTGAATTGCTTCCAACACGCTTCTTCCTAGAGATGGGAGAGAGGTCTGGGACATCCCCACCCCGAGGAACTTATTCACTCCTATCCCTGTCCCTCTTGGCTCACATAAACCTTTCTGTGCTTCCCAGGGGCCCGGGCCTCGTGGGGTCCCCTTCCCACCCTTCCAACAAGCAGGTGAAGTCATCTTTGCAGCCACTGAGTCAGGATCAAGAGTTGTTTCTTTTTTTTCTTTTTTTTAAAAAATAGATATATTTTATTGATTTTTCACAGAGAGGAAGAGAGAGATAGTTAGAAACATTGATGACAGAGAATCATCGATCAGCTGCCTCTTGCACACCCCCTACTGGGGATGTGCCCGCAACCAAGGTACATGCCCTTGCCCGGAATCGAACCGGGGACCTTTCAGTCTGCAGGCCGACGCTCTATCCACTGAGCCAAACCGGTCCCGGCAAGAGTTGTTTCTTCTCTCCCTGCTTTGGAGTCCCGTCTCTCTTTCCTCCTTCACAGGATAGGGAGAGATCCATTCCTGGTCCTAAGAACAGAGAGGAAGAATGTCCCATGTTGCCATGGTGACTAGGATGACACCTCCTTACACCCCCTTTGCATCTCGCAGGCTGGGCGTTCCTCTGTGGCACTTGTCCCCGTAAGAACTTGGGAGTGGAGCTCTGTTTGCAGGATATCTTCCCTTCCCGACTGCAGAGGGGCGGCTCCCCGGCTCACACTGCCTGGGGTAAAAGGAGGATGCTTCTCGCTACCACACCCATCCAACTTGGGACCCTTCCCTCCGGGGACTACTGTCTTCCGGCTGCCCCAGGCTTGGTCCTGAAATGTCGCTGGGGCCTTCGCAGCCTGGAGGCCAGTTAGAGCCCTTGGAAGGGGGGTTTGGAGAGGGAGCTCAGGTGGTGAATCTGGTCCTTGTTTTGGCTCCTGGACTTCCTGTTAGTCCCGCTGCTGTGACTGTACCTCTGTTGCCTTCAGGCACCTCTTAGGCAACTTAGGGTCAGCGGTTTCTGCTGTGTGAAAAGAATGGCTTCGGAGGGGCAGCACACCAGGGTGGTGGGGGAGGCTGGGCCGGCAGGACAGGCAGGGAGGGCGCCTGGGTCTCATACAGGCGCTGCTGGGTGAACCAGAATAGTCCTGCCTCTTCTCTGAGCCGCTCTCCGCGTTGGCCAGGTAAGGAGCTGGGGGGGGGGTGTCATTTAGGTTTAGGATTTTAGAGAGCTCACCCCAAAGCCCTCTGGACCCGGAGGTGACAGAAAACAGTGGGTGTCTTTTGAGAAAGAACCGGGTTTCTCCCTGTGTTCCCTCCAACCATCCGAGGTTGGTGGGCAGGACAAACAGCCTGTTTGGCGTGAGGCTCGGGGTTTGGTGTTTTGGTCACCTGTGCTGTGGTGAATGTACTCGGGTTGCTTGTCAGGGGAAGGGCCTGTTGGATGAGGAGGAGGTAAGGCTGTGTGGGGGAAGAATTGGGCTTTTTGAACTGGGTAGGCCCAGGGTCTTCCGCATAGCTGCTTGGTAGCTTTGAGCAAATTTTCAGCTGCTGCTGCTGCTGTTTTTTGTTTTTTGTTGTTTGGTTTTTTTTTTGCAAAAGTCCACCCATGCCCAGTGATTGTGTGTGAATACCTGGCTGACTCACTGCCTTGGCTGATGCTTCTCTCGCAGTTTCCCTGGGATCGCTTAGTTTCCTCCTAGGAGCCTTTGTACCTGCAGACTCCTCTCGTGGGGAGGCAGAGTGGGATAGCAGAAAGCGCTCCCTGTCTGGGTTCGAGTCCTGTATTTTTTTTTTTTTTTTGGACTCCATGTTCTGAAGCTAGTGGTAATGTCTTCTTTAATTCCCTGTTTCCTACTCCCCTAACCCAGTGGTCGGCAAACTCAGTCAACAGAGCGGCAAAACCGCGGTTCACGAGCCGCAGTTTGCCGACCACTGCCCTAACCCACTGAGAAAGTTTTGAGTGGAGCCTCTTAGCTTTTGGTGGGGGTATGCTACGAAATTTCAGGCAATGTTCCACTTCCTTCTCCCTGGCCTATAGGTTCTTGGGTCGTTGTTGTTGTTGTTGTTGTTACTTTTTACAGCTTTACTGAGACACAATTCACATACCATGCAATTCATGAATTGAAAGTGGTTGTTAGTCTACTCAGAGTTGTGCATCCATAAGTATGATCAATCACGTTTAGGATAGTTTCATCACCTCGAAACGAAGCCCGTAGCCATCCTCATCATCTCCCAGTCCCCTCACCTGCTCCCAGCCCCTGGGCACCCACCATTAATCTGCTTTTTTTTGTAAATATGTGTTAATTAATTTTTAGAGAGAGAGGAAGGGAGACAGAAACACCAATAACAAACATCTACATTGGCTGCCTCTCGCGCGCCCCCTGCTGGGGATTGAGCGCCAACCGGGCCGGGCCCTGACTGGGAAATTGACCCAGTGGACCTCCCCTCCGGGTGCATAGATTGATGCTCACTCACTCACCACCCTGGCCTGGCAACCAGTAATCTCCTTTTTGCCTGGATTGATTTGACTCTTTGGGATGGTTCATAGAAATGGCATCATATCATGTGCTGTCCTTCGTGACTGCTCCTTTCACTCAGTATAGCTCATCCGTGTTGTAGCACGGAGCAGTGCTTCATGTCTTTTTGTTGCATAATGACAGCATCTTCATTTTTTTAAATCCCTTCCCCGGCCCCCAGTGGCTGGCGTCAGGTTTTAGGGCCTGGCTCTTTCCTATCCCTGCCCGGAGAGCTCGTGTTGGTCCTTAGAAAGCAGTGCATCTGTCGGTGTTGCTCGCTGGGTGGGTTGTTTGTGTTTTGCACACGGAGCTGAGCCAGTGTTCCTGGGCGTTTTTTTTTTTGGGGGGGGGGCGAGAGGGGTATTCTTGGCCCCAGACTTGCTGGGGCAGAGCTGTGAAGCCCAGAATACTGAACCCCTCTTGCCATGGGCTCTGGGAAGACTTCTGTCCATAAGCTGTCATTGCTGCTAATGTCTTCTCCTGCTCCCTGTCCCCTTCAGTGACAGCTCATTTATTTTATTCTTTTTTAAATATATATTTTATTGATTTTTTTACAGAGAGGAAGGGAGAGGGGTAGAGAGTTAGAAACATCAATGAGAGAGAATCATCGATCAGCTGCCTCTTGCACACCCTCTATTGAGGATGTGCCCACAACCAAGGTACATGCCCTTGACCGGAATCAAACCTGGGACCTTTCAGTCCGCAGGCCAACTCTGTATTCACTGAGCCAAACCGGTTTCGGCACAGCTCCTTTATTGATGAGTAGGGTCAGCAGCTTCCCAGGCTGTAGGGGGAGTCCAGGCTCCTGCCGCTTTAATTCTAACCCTGCCCCGGGCAGGTGGGTGCC